TCAACCCAGTGGGCATCTGCTATGAAAAAGGCAAACTCCATACTGGGCATAATTGAGAACAGAATAGAAAATAGAACTCTCCTGGTTGCCTATCTGAAAAAGGACATTATTGTGTTGGAAAAAGCACAGAGAAGGGCAATGAAAATGATGAAGGGGCTGCAACAACTCCCCTGTGAGTAGCAGCTACAACAAGTGGGATTGTTCAGCTTAGAAAAAACCGTGAGTTAAGGGAGACATGATAGAGGGATTTAAAATTGCCCATGGTTGCAGAAAGAGGAAAGGGAGACATTTTTCTCCCTCTCCCATAACACCAGAGCCTGGGGTCATCCTATGAAGCTGATTGGTGGGCAGCTTAGGACAGATAAAAGGAATTTCTTCTTCATACAGCATAAAGCAAGGGGTTCACTGCTGTGGGAAGTGGTGTTGGCCACCAATCTGGTTGACTGGAAAAGAGGATTAGACAGATTCATGAAAGGGAAGGCTATCAGTGGATACTCGCCTTGCTGGCCATGTGCTCCCTCCTTGACCAGAGGTGGGATGCCTGCATACACTGGTTGCTGGGGGGCAGGGCAGGAGGAGGTCTTGCACCCATCCTGCTGGAGGGATCCTGTGTGCAGCTGGTTGGCCACTGTGTGTATGGACTGCTGGACTGGGTGGTCTGATCCAGCATGGCTTTTCTTATGCTCTTAATACTGCTTCATCCGTCAGCCTTCCTCTGTTAGCCTGGACCTCTCAGCAGCTTTCGATACTGTTGACCATGGTATCCTTCTGGATAGACTGGCTGACTTGGGAGTAAGAGGCACTGTGTGGTAGTGGTTCCACTCCTATCTGACTGGCCAATTCCAGATGGTGATGTTGGGGGACTATGGCTCTGTGCCATGGCAGCTTTGCCATGGAGTTCTGCAGGGCTCTATTTTGTCCCCCTTGCTATTTAATATCTACATGAAACTGCTGGGAGAGGTCATCAGGAGGTTTGGGCTGCAGAGTCATCAGTATGCTGATGACACCCAGCTCTACCTCTTGTTTTCCACCAATCCAGGTGAGGCAGTGGCTGTACTGAACCGGTGCCTGGCCGAGGTAATGGGCTGGATGAGGGCCAATAAACTGAAGCTCATTCCAGACAAGACGGAGGTCCTGTTGGTGGGTGATGCGGGTGATAGGTGTCATCACCTCCAGGTAGGTGATTTTGACCCAGTTCTGGGTGGGGTAGCACTCCCTCTAAAGGACGGAGTCTGCAGCTTGGTAGTACTCCTTGACCCAGAGCAGTCACTGGAGTTCCAGGTGGCGGTGGTGGCAAGGAGTGCTTTCCTACAACTCTGACTAATCCATCAGCTGCATCCTTACCTGGATGAGCACTCCCTAGCAACAGTGGTACATGCTCTGGTAACTTTCTGCTTGGACTACTGCAACGCGCTCTACGTGGGGCTGCCCTTGAAAACAGTCCAGATACTGCAACTGGTGCAGAATAGAGCTGCCAGGCTGCTGGTGGGGACTGGCCATTACTCTCACATAACGCCAGTCCTCTACCAGCTCCACTGGCTTCCAGTTGAAGTCCAGCCCAATTCAAGGTGTTGGTTTTGACCAATAAAGCCCTAAACAGCTTGGGACCAGGATACCTGAAGGAACGTCTCCCTCCTTATATGCCCTCACAGCCCTTAAGATCTGCGGGAGAAGCCCTGCTCCTGGAACCCTCACTAAGAAAGGTAAAAAGGTCATGAACTCGAAGTAGGGCCTTCTCTGCTGTGGCACCCAGACTCTGGAATGTACTCCCCAGAGAGGTACGCCTGGCGCCAAGTTTATACTCTTTTCGGCGACAGACCAAAACCTTTTTATTTAAATATTATTTTAAAATCTAATAGCTTTGAAGTTCATTCACTCTGTTTCTTTTGTAATTTATTGTTTTGTTCTGTTTTATTATTTATTGAAATAGTCGTTTTAATTGTGCTTTTAAATATTGTAAGCCGTCTTGAGATCTTATATAATAGGACAGCATACAAAAGCTTTTAATAAAGAATAAATAGATAACTTTAAAAAATGCTTAGTAGTTCATTGCCTTCCTATTTTGTTTTTTAAGCCCATGACTTTTGGATTCAAGACTCTTCTGGAGGTTGGAGATGAGATTTCTTCGCAGTATCACCGATGGACAGCCTGACAGTATCATGGACAGCCTGCTTCTCTTTCAAGTTCAAACTTGCTGGAGCACAATTTGGGGAAGCTCAACCCTGGAATAGGTAGGCTGAATTTTAAGCCTAATTTTAGTAATGTTAGCATCTACCTTTCCTCTCAGGGAATGTCTTCTCCTGTTTGTCACTTCCCATTCTTTTGGGTTCTAAAGAAGATGGTCTCTTACATTGTTAGTTGCAAAGTTCTATGACCCAAATGGACCGTAGGTTTCATTTCCTTCTATGCTGTGCCTTTGCCCCAGCTTGTCTCCTAGCAAGGGCAAGGAGTGGAGCTTTTTCAGTTGTTGCATCCACTCTAAGAAATGCTTTCATGGAGACCCACCTCACTACTGCCTATCAGCCAGCAAGTTAAAATGTTTGTTTTCAAAGTATTTCTGGGATCTGCATGGAAGTTCAATTGACCCGTTATGAAAACTATTGTCTGCGAGCGCTACTGTCTGAGTACTATTCCAGTTGCCATTGGGTTGGATCCTGGTTCTGGCTTCTGTGAAGGTTGGGGGCCTTTGTGTATGGAAGGGCTTCCATCTATGGCCACTCCTGCCAGTGTGCTCAGACAGCACAGCCATGGCACAGGCAGTCAGGCAAAGAGGCACTGCATGGGGAACAGCTTTTATTGCCAGTGGTTAAGCTTTGGGTGAGGCAGGCCAGCCTGTATAGAGGGGAGAGTAGTTTGCAAAAGCAATGAAACCATGCACAGAATAAAGAGTCCTTTAGGAGAAAGGGGATGGGTCAATGGAAGGGGTATGGCCTTTTGCAGAACTCTGGAGAACCATATTGAGAGCCTGTAGGTGAGTTGGATTTGTCCGAGAGACCTGAGGTTTGGCGCTCCAACATCAGCCTTTGCAGTTTGCAATAAGCTGGAAACTTGTGGATTCTGGCCTGGCCAAATTGGCTGCCTGCTGAACCTAAAGCCGTTAGCTTCTTGCTACTGATTTTAGGGATCCCATGGTGGAACATACATTCCTCAGAGTTAGGTTTAGGTACTTAAACCAAGTACCTAAATACCTCTTTCCCCACCCTCCCTCCAAGCATAGCAAGACAAGGGGTTTCTAACTACAATCTTTATTATGTTAAAGCTGCTTAGCTAGGTTGGCTGTATGATATAGAAGAAGCATTGTATGAGTCACTACCAAAAGACATCAGCAAAGGCAGAATACCTGCTATTAAAGAAATACGACCTAAAATTAAGAAGTTGATTCCAAATAGAATCCCTTTCCCTTCCCAAAAAGAGCTAGCGCCACTCAGATATGACTCAGTCAGTCTGCTTTTCTGATATGGCACCAGACTACAGGGCTGATTGTAGCGCATCTTTCCCCCTCTGTGCTGGGAGCTGGGTTTCCTGCCCTTCACACATTCAAGGGCACAGACTGTTCCTTTGCAAAAGTTCTTCCTTCACCAAAGTATATCCAATAAACTCAATCACTGCAGAATGAGCATGCACAGAGTGGGTCGCTGAACCCAGTCTAGCAACTGGTTCTAGGAACTCTCTTTTCAAGTAAGTTTGGGCCACATCTGGGAGGATCCCTTTGGAACTGAGTGTGCCTTTTTTCCGCACACCGTCCCTGTAGGTGGGTAACCCTCCTCTCCTGCTGCGCTTCAGCCTGGGCTCAAGAGTCATACCAACTTCGTTTGGCACTGAGAACTCTTCTCACAGACCCCCTCCTGACAGTTGTACATCTTGACAATTTTCAAAGCTTGCCTCAGCACCTGGAGACAGTGGACAGTAGAGCTGGATGAGGCCAGAAGGTCATTGAGTCCAACCCCCACTCAGTGCAGGAGGCCAAGTTAAACCATCCCTCTCAGATGGCTGTCCAGCTGCCTCTTGCATGCCTCTAGTGTGGGAGAGCCCACAGCCTCCCTAGGAAGTTGGTTCCATTGTCATACTGCTCTAGCAGTCAGTGGTTGAAAAGAGATCCTGGCCTTCCTCTTTGCGACAGCCTTTCTGGCACTTGTGCCATCCTATCGCCCTTCAGTCTTCTTAAGGCTAAACACACCCAGTTCTTTCAATCCCAATTTTTCCCAATCCCTGGATCATCCTTGTTGGCCTGCTCTGAACCTCTTCCAGCTTGTCTGCATCTTTCGTAAACTGTGGTGCCCAGAGCTGGACACAGCACTCCAGAGGAGGCCTAACCAGCACTGAGTAAAGGGGAACTAGGACTTCATGGGATTTGGAAGTTATACTTCCATTAATGCATTTGCCCTTTTTAGAGTCAAATTACACTGTTGACTCATATTCCACTTGTGATCGACAACAATTCCAAGATCTTTCTCACTTGCAATATTGTTGAGTCAAGTATTCTCCATCTTTTAATGATACATTTGGTTTCTTTTTCCTAGGTGCAGAACTTGGCATTTGTCCCTATTGAATTTCATTCTCTTGTTTTTAGCTCTGCGTTCCAACCTTGAATCTTCTTTCAGACTTCCAGGGTATTCTCTATCCCACCCAGTTTTGTACATATCATCTGAGCTGAGATTGGCATGACCCAAGAGTGCATGCCAAGAACAACTGCCCATCTCATTCCCAACTCTCTGGCTCTGCCTGTTGCACAAGGTTTCCCTCAGAGCCAGACGCTGCCTGGTTTCACAGGTCTCTTGGCTTCCCCTGGGACATGCTGGCCCCAGCTCTTCTTCTACTTCTGATTCAGATTCAGAGATAATGACTTGGATTGTTGTATTTTGGGAGAAGGGGGCTCTGTCAATCCATGGAGGAATTGGGCTTCAGAAAGATATGCATACCGTAAGAATATTCTTTGAGAGAATTCTCCCCGAAATAAAAGAAATCACAATATTTTCTGTATGTATTTTATTGTTCTAGGTGACAGCTCACATGAAATATACCATATCACCAAAGTTAATGGAATTATAAATTTCTGTATTACAGACATTTTCATTTAAAGGGAATGCACATTATTTCTACATTATGATGGATATAAAGACAAAATGCCTTGTGGCAGCTCAGATTTGGGCTTCCCTGGGCATGACTTTGATTCTGAGGGAACTTCTGGAAAAGGCTGAATTACTGATTTCTTGTGTACTTGTGTGTCAGGAAAAAGGGACTCATTTAGCTTTCCATGTGAGATAGCCGGATGGTTCAGGAAGTTTGCCTCCGGAGCTTGAAGGATGTCATTTTCACTCAAAACTGGAATATGATAGATCATACCAACTTTGTTGTGACAGAAAGAGTCGTGCTCCCTGAAAGAATCAGGCTGTTCTGAGGAGTCTCCTTCTCTTCCTTTTGTGGTATTGTGGCACCAGTGATGATGGTGGCCTCGATGGTGTCCTCTGTGGTGACCATTTCTGTGAAACTTTGGAGGAGGGTGTCCATGTGGCCCATGAGGAGGAGGTCCAACAGGAGGTGAGGGGTATCTACTAGGAGGAAGATGATGTGGGCCACCAGGGGGTGGAGGAGGGTACTGAGGTCCCGGGGGAGGGACGAGGTCAGGATCTCCTTCTTCGTCCTGTTCAGAGGAATTGTGGTGGCCTACAGGACCTGCGAGGCCATCGCGATGATTGTCAGGAGGTGGTGGATATCTATAACGCAGGCCATGTCTATACCTATGATAGTGGCCACAGCCATAGTGGTGATGGCGATGATGATGACGATAATGATGCCATGATGGTCCAGCTGGTGGAAATCTGCATTCATGGTGAGACATGTTGCAGTGATGATGGTGTTCTCCTGAATCATGGTGGAAGTGATGGTGATGGTGGAAGGGACCTCTGCCATACTTTCCATAAGCAAATGAAAGGAACACATCCACCATTGAAATGTTCATGAAGCACGCATGAGGATTGGAAAGAAAGAAGAATTAGCTGAATTAGTCAGAAGTCCTTCACAGGGGATTCGTCTCTTCTGTACCTGTGCTGTGAATCTGTCCAACCTGCTCCATCACTGAAACCTTTTCTGGCAGTGCCTCTCCATCCTTGAGCTGTGGGCTACTCATAAAGGCACCATGTGGAATTGACTTGAAACAGCATTCTTGGGATGTCTCTCCACGCCAGTGCCACCATTTCTGTTATAGGCCGACTCTGGCTGACCCTTGATAAGGTATAAGGTGCACTTATCAGGTGCACTTCTCCAGGGCCTAGTAACCCCCTGCACAGGCTGCAGCCCCATTGTCATGATGCTTACCTGCTTTTCTGTCTGCCATTGTCCCGCTCATGTGAGATTGGATGGTGCCAATTCAAAGCAGAATTAGGAAAAAGCTACATTCTGAGCTGTGCCCCAGGCTTTCTCTGGGACAGAGATAGACAGTCAAACTAGGACTCATAATTTGGGACAGAGGGTTGTGCACTTCCCTTCCCTACTTTCTGTGGAACTACTGGTCCCAGCATTCCTGGTGCACAAGCAGGAAGGAGTGCAAACTGGTGAGAGCAATGAAGCACCATAATCACCTGGAGCACTGATCCCAGGGAAGTGGGAACCTGGACTGCTGGGAGAATTTATAGCAGCCTTCCCTACCTGGTCACCCCGGAAGCTTTTAAGTCAGACTAAAGCTTCTAGCATTCCCGCACATGGGTCATGCTAACGCAGGTTGATGGAACATGGCATCCAAAACATCTGGAGTCCATCAGGTTAGGAAAAGCTGATTTACAAGCTTAAAATATGTGAGTTAATGTCTATTTCAAACATATACTTTAATACTGCACAGTCTGTTGCCTAGGGTGGCTTTGTGTCCTCTTTTACAGGAGTTAGTTCTCCATTTGAAAGACTGCTGGAGTGCACAGGTCACCTGGTCACAGTCTTTGGCTCCATGGTTAGAAGTCCTATGTTTCTATTTAAATCATAACAATTATTTCTAAATTTGCATGGATTACATATAAATGAGGATAAGCAAATTTGTGTCATCTCCTGGTGATGCATTTCTGTTTTTTTGCTAGTTCATAAGACCCTTCCCTACTAGTCAATGAGTCGCTGCAAAGCCCGTTTACAAATGTTATGTGCAACCTGCTTTCAAAACTAACAGCAGCATTTTATCTTCTGTGATTCATTTTATGGAGGCCTGGTAACATCCCACCCAATGCACATACATTCCAAAGATCAAGTAAGAGGAATTAACTCCATAAAGGAAGCCATCACCTTGAACTTACAGGAGCTGAGCAGGGATGTTGTGGACAGGGTATTTTGAAGGGCTTTCACTTGCTATAAGTCAGACATGACTTGATGGCACATAAGGAACCTACATGTTGCTACAATAAGAATAGCAACTTACATGAATATTATAGATTTCACAGGACTCTACTTCAACACCATCAGGGTCTTTTGCTTCTTTAAGCACCTTTCCTCTACAGAATCCCATGTGCTGCAAAGAGACAACAACATACAGAAACATAGAAACAGAGCGAGTCAGAACGGGTCTCCCGAGCCATCTAGTCTGACCCCCGGCTCAGACTAGAGTGCTCCTGCACTGGGTTGCACAATATTGGATGCTGTAGATACTTTTGCCAGGGACCCAGGAACTTTGATTCCTAACCTTTGTATCTAAGCTTCATCAAAACAGCTCATGCAACTATTTCTATAATAGTTGTTTGTATGCGTTGTGCCCTTGAGGAAGAACAACATGCTGAAGTGCACCGAGCGTCTTCTCCCAGCAGTTGGTGCTTTCCCATTTTCCTTTCCTCCTCTCCTCAAGGCTTTCTTCTAGAGCGCTGGTTTTCAGGGATACAAATTTGGCTGCCCAATGTATCTTCCATTGCCTTCTCCATTACCAGCATTAACCACCTCAGCTATTGAAGGCTTCCTCTTGTGATCGGCCTGGCTTTGCCAACTGTGTTGAGCCGAGAGGAAGTTTGCAAACACTTGTGGAATAAAGACGGTGCAACTGGCAGCCTTCTTTGGCATTCTGTGCAGCTGCCCAAATGTGGTGCAGGAGAGAGATGGTGCTTGCGCAAAGGTCCCAGGGGTTCCTTACCGCACGTCTGCAAGGCCCACATTCTGACTCATGTGCTGGAGAAACGGAAGAGGGGCACACAGCCTCCTTTATGGTAAATTCAATGATATACACAGTACGACTAGCTACCTGCATAGAACAGACAGAGCATGAGAATCCAGAGCATTAGCAAAAGCAATTAAAACACCTGGCAATTTATTAATTTCATTAATTTAATATATTCCCATGCCATCCAACAGCTGAAGCTATCTGGACAGTTCCCAAATATCAAACCCCTAAAATACAATATGAAAAAACATAATATAAAACTTTACATGCAAACATTTAAAACCTATTTGCAACTGCAGAAAATAATTTACAATGACATGCCGGGACCCAGTGGAACAGAAAACAAACAAAGTTATAAAAGTCCCATCGTATACCGTATGTTTCCGTGTATAAGACGCTACTTTTCTTAAAAAACATTTACCTAAAAATGGAGGTGCGTCTTATACACGGGGGGCCAAGAGGAGAACCGCGGGTGCACTCAGGGGTGGGGGGGGGAGACTGGCACAATCACATGCGCACGGGAGGGGGTGGCGAAGCGGCACGCATGGGCGGCAGCAGCTTGCTTGCTTGGAGATCGGTAGGAAAAGTGCGGGGCATCCTGTACATGGGGGCATCTTGTAGATGGAAAAATACGGTACTTTCAAATGCCCAGGCTTCACACAGTTCTTAACCTGGTGCCGAGAAGATAATGATGACGGGCACCTGGCAGCCCTCACTTGGGAGAGCATCTCACATTCAGTGGATCGCCACCAAATGTATCCCTTGACAGCCATGCCAATTAGCAGATACATAGGCAATGTAAATGAAAGCTTCTAGGGTGGCCATGTGTCCTACTTTACAAAGGATAGTCCTCTGTTTGAAGGGCTATCCAGTCCAAGTCTGGACTGAAATTGAGAGAGAGAGCCTAACAAGAATGCAGATTTGCACCCAGATGGCAGAATGAGGCACCCCACGAGTCACCAGGTCCCCCTCTTCCCCACTGTGGCAAGATGTATGTTATTTAAATCATAGTAATAATTTTCTAATAGGTGATGCAAAATTTCATAGATCTAAATTTCCAAATGATGCATTCCCTTTTGTTTCACCACAGAAGATGCAGGCATGGTCATTAGGAAAGGTTCATCGGGTGATTTTTTCACATAGCAGGCAGCTGTTAAGTAAACAGGGCCAGCTCCAGCTTTCCAAGGACCCTAGTGAAAGTCCCATCAGCCAGGTTCACTCCAGTCAAAGGTCCTCTGTGAGGGCATCAGGTTAGGGGAGGTTTTCTCATTTCATGCCAACAGTATAGCATGAAGCTGGACTACAGGTAATGTGCAAACCAGCCTCTAGGAGTTCTGTACTTCCAGGAAGTCCCAAAAAACCCCCATTCCTTTCAATGAATTTTAGGGCACATTGATACGTACCGCACTAAAGACTTTCTGGACTTTTTCCACCATGAAATTGCGTGTTTCATTGCTCTCCTGCTTATATTTTCCAAGGATCCTCTTGGCTGCTTCTGCAAACTCTTCAGTATCTTGTAAGACTGTTACTTTTACTGGACAGTCCTTGCATGGATACAAGTGTGGTGGCACTGTGAAAAAGTACACAGTCATTAGCATTACAACCCCTTTGCTCCAGATTGTATTTGCACAAACTAGAGCTGCAACAAAGAAATGCAGTCTGCCAAAGATGCATCAAGGGGACAGAAGAAGCTTCTGACCAGGTAGACGGCAAGTGAGCTTTGTCACGTTGTTTCCTGACTTCTGCCTGTAGCTCCTTCACAGGTAATTTCTGTGGCCAGAAAGCAACAGCATCTTTGTAGGGCCAGACCCATGGCCTTGGACTCTGTCCAAGAGAACTTCTGCCATCTTGAGAAAGGCTGCATCAACTTTCTGTGGGCTAAAGTACCAGCAAACAGAAGTTTAAAGCTCTTATTGCTAGTAATTGAGCCTTAGGAAGGAAGATCAATTATGGGATGGATGTATTCTATAAAGGAAGCTTCAGCCTTGAACTTAGAAGAGCTGAGCAGGGCTGTCATGGACAGGATAATCTGGAGGGTTTTCATACAGCTGCCATAAGCTGGAAACAACTTGATGGCACATAACAGCAACAACAAAGCCTTAAGAGAAGCATTTCAACCTTGTCAAATGTGAAGGAAGAATCGCACAAAACCCAAGAAGCCACCAGATGTTTGGTGGTTGAGGAAAGGCGGATGGGGCTGGGAGAAGGGATGTGGCCCTTAAGGCGCAGGCCATTGGTTTACTGACAGGCACAATGTGATTCCATTGCGCATTTGCTTATTGCTGTTTGGAAAAGGTTTAAAGTAGAAAAAACCGGGACAGCTTTCCATGATATGCATTCACACAGGCCTAGCTCAAAGAATTTTGCCAGCTCAGGTGAGGCAGCAGCTGCCTACTCATCCCTGCCCTCTCATGACCCAAGCCTTTCTTGCCTCCCTGCTTGTTTGCCTTCTTTTCCACACCTTTTCCAGGGTACCCTCTTGGCTGGCCACCCCTCCCTCCCTCCCTCCCTCCTTTTTTCACACAATCAGTCAAGTAGCTAAGCTGGTCACCACTCCTGCCTCATGGATCAGTTGTGGGGCTTTCATGAGATGCCAACCAAAACATCTGGGGCACAAAGTGGTAGTAACTGAGCTAGCAGCCAGCTGGGCAAGCAGTCTGAGCAGCCACAGCAATGACCAGCAGTCCAGCATGTGGCTGGCTAGTTGCTGGGCAGGCAGCCACCTGTGGCAAGAAGTGGTGGCTGGTGGTGGACCTGGCTGTCCGTTGCTGTCTTGCTGCAGCAAATGCCACAGCAGGAGAGCAGGTGGAAGAGCCTTCAAGAACACGTGCTAGATATGGTGGGAAGCCAGTGGTGCACCCTCCTGTGGGGGTGGAGGAGGACAGCTGTGTAATTTGCTGCTCTTCCTGCTCTGAATATGGGGGCATCAGCCCACATCATGGCAGGGCTGGTCCTGTATACACCCTCCCCCCAGTCAGTAATGCCTCTTGGAAACCCCAGCTGAAAACTGCCAGAACTGAGATCATTCTAGGAGAGAAGTCTGTACATCTGCTGGCATGCAGTGATTGAGCTGACTCTCTCTGAAGCTATGCTTGCATTCTTCCGGATAGAGCCACAACCTTTTTCACGAGGTGTGAGTACCTGGGCTCATAGTGCAGTTGTATCCATGCAACTTCTTTCTGTTTTGAAAGTGGTCTAAGGACATGACAGTTTTGCATTGCCCAAAGTCCTGGAGGAAGCAAAAGAGAAAATGGGTGGATCAGGACTTATTGCTGGGCTCGTAGGTCTCTGCACTGGGATGCTCTTATACCCCTGCCAGCTCTGACATGAGAACAGTGGGGACCAGAGAAACATTTACTGTATGTCAGGTGTTGCCTGATCTGATTACATCCAAAGGGACAACCTACATGGGATCTCAAATATATTAAACAGGTCGTACATTTAACTTGTGGGTTTTTCATTTTAATAAAATAGCAACTACCATCAGTTGCAGCGAGGTGATAATTCACAATATAAGAGAAAGTGATGAGAAATTTAACTCTTTTCTGGTGCTGAGGAAAATCCCTCTGAAGCAGATATCTTCTGCGGTCCCAAGACCCACATCAGCTATTTGCTGGGGACCACGCATCCATGTCCATGCACTCACATACAACTCATTCTCTCTCACACACACAACTTTCTTACACTCACTCCAGCAGCAACAGATCTTTTTCTCACTGCAAGAGCATCAAGGTTCCCACCCCACTGTGATCGCCAAATAAGAGGAAAAATCCTCCAGGAACAGGCTCTGTGGCTTATGATGTGGAGCTGGAAGCTCTTTCTGAGAGTGTCCCAGAAAGTAGGAGGGAACCTCCAACAGCAGCTCCATTGGATGCTGAGTGAGGCATTAATACCAGTGTAATTTGGTCCTTACAGAAGCACCACATCCCTCACAGGAGGAGAGCACCATGCTGGGACCAGAAGGAACTGAGATACTGTTACTTGCCGTGCTGGGGTAGAACTGCCGATGTCCACAAGTTGACCAGTGCTTCCTGGATAACACAGGGCATTCTGTCTCCAGGACATCGAGAGTTAAATATTCAATGGATGTATTGTGCTAAAAGGGTTATAATGGGAAGAAAACCAATTAATTGAGTTATGGTTCTGTAGAGTAACAGCTTAAGTCAGTGCTATGCCCATTTTGCCTTTCTTCTGGTGGTGCCGGGTGCAGGTGAAGCAGCTTCTGGCCAGGTCTGCCCTTTTGCACAGTCATTCCCCAAGAGGGATTTCTTCATGGAATGGGACTGGGCCACTGAGGCAGCCTAGTGGTAGAACCCAAGGAAGCTTCCTGGGCTGGATTAGGATCTGTGTCCCTGCTGTAGAAGATCTTTGAGCTGAAGGAACAGGCAGATTTGCTGAAATGGCAAGCATCATTTCTACAATCTGTCCTCATCTCCAGCATCCACCCCAGCCTTTTCATCTTGGTTCTTCGTCGTGGCCTCTGTGCATCACACATATGGGTTCTGCGCCTGCGCAGTGCCTTTGGCCGGAAGATTGACAGCTAACGGTTTTTTGGTGGGAAGCTCCGCTTCCCTCCCCCATGGCCTATAAAGAGCGGAGCGTCCGCCATTTTGTTAGTCTTTGTGACCGCCGTTCGCTGTGCCTCGTGCCACTTTCGTCTTTCACTTGACCGTTTCCTTGTAGCTATTGTCTTCTTCTCATTCCCATTTTTTATATCCCTAAAACTCTTGTTACTTCTAGTTTCTTCTTCTATCGTTCTAGTGTTCCATCTCTCCTTTAAAAAAACAAAAAAACCCAACAAAAATATATTCTTACCCTCTGCACTGTCTCCTTTTCTCTTCTCGTTCTTTCTGCGATGGCGCAGCGAGCGGCCTTCCGCAAGTGTGCGGAGTGCGGGTCGAAAATGTCTCCGTCCAACCCGCACGATCTATGCCTCCTCTGCTTGGGGGAGGGGCATAGAACTGACAGGTGCTCCCACTGTCTGGCCTTCTCCAAACAGGCCAGAAAAAACAGGGAGAACTGCCTCTGGAGACTCCTGTGGGATCGGGCTCTCATGCAGTCCGACCCACTGGTCTCTGCTCCGAAGCCTGGCCCGGCTGTGGTGGTACCACCCTCCCGTCCATCGGATGAAGGTGCCTCTGCTTTGAGGGCCCCACCAGCTTCTTCTAAGAAAAAAAGGGAGAAGCGCAAGCATGCCGAGGCTTTAAAACCTGCCAAAAAGGCCAGGAAGGAGAAGCCTTCTAAGTCGACCCCGAAGGCTAAGGATCCGGATCGACCCCGACACCGTACCTCGGGTTCGACAGTAGCGTCAGTACCGGCGCCTCCTACCGTGCCGACACCACCTGAGCTGGCGATCCAGGCAGCCATGAGGGTCACCCCTCAAGGGTCTCCTCGCCGTGTGGCTGACCCCCTGGTTGAACCACCACCAGCTGTCCAACGGGGTTCGATCTCGGATGGAGAGATCCAGGACTCTCCCCCCAGGGCTAGGTCACCAACCCCTATGCCTGCGGCTATACTGGAGGCAGATGTGGTTGACTTCCCACCTAGGACCCGCAGAAGCCATTCTAGGGAGCAGCGGTCCGAGAGGGTCGAGGACTGGCGTCATCCCTACTATCCACCTTTGGACGAGCCATACTCGACCGGATACTATCCCGCTCCAAGGGATCAACCACAATTTCACCTTCGTGACCGCTCGCCCCATCCGGATCCAAGGCGCTCATCCCCAGTACCACGGGATGATAGCAGCCGCTCCGTCTCACCAGCAGAGTCTTCCTCTTTGGCTCCTCCTTATTACGGCACGGATTCCGATGACTCCGATTTGGATTCGACCTCTCCGGATGCTGCGGTAACCTCCCAGGGCCCCGCATCACCGGACGAGTCACATGTGTCCTTTGCGGAGCTGATGGGCAGGCTCGTCCAATCTTTGGATATAGACGCCGTCCAACGGCCAGGGCCGTCTACGGACAAAATATACGACGTCGTCCACGGGGAGCAGTCCACCTCCATCGTCCTGCCACTGATTACCACCTTGTGGCAAGCGATGACCCAACCCTGGGACTTGCCATCCCATCCTCAACCTACATCCCGGAGGTAAGAAGCCATGTACCGGATTCAGGAGGAGGACATTCCATTCCTCCTCCGACACCCCAAGCCGAACTCGGTTGTGGTGGAGTCCTCCCAGGGAAGTGAGGCAAGGGGTCATACCGCGCCGAGAGACAAGGAGGGCCGCAAGATAGATTCACTGGCCAGGAGGGTTTACGCAGCCTCAGGCTTGGGGTTGCGTATCTCTAATTACGAGGCGACGTTGGCGAGATACCAGTATTTCATAATGCAGCGTCTCAACAACGTCGTCTCGACCCTCCCGGATCAACAGGGCAAATTGGCCAAGGTCCTCATCAAAGAGGCGATGCACGTGGCGGTGCAGCAATTGTCCACAGCCAGGCACCATGTGGACACCAATTTGAGGGCACTGGTTGGTGCCGTCTCTCTTCGGAGACATGCGTGGCTACGGAGCGCCAACTTCCCTGAAGAGACCAAACGGCGCATTGCAGAAATGCCCTTCGATGGGTCCGGGCTATTCCACGCTAAGACAGACCACAAGCTCAAGAAACTCCATGAGTCTCGGATGACGGCCCGACGAATGGAGCTTCAGTCGCTGCCCAAATGTAAGTGGCCATGGAACCATCCACCCTACAGGCAGCAATATCACCCCAGGCAACAGCCTCAACATAGGCAGCAACAGCAACAACAACGCTGCCGTCAGCAACCTCAACAAAGATACCAGCAGGGCCGTCGCCGATTTGACGATCGGAGGCAGCGCTGACGGGACTGGCAAACCATTCCTCATGCTCCTCTAATACCCACCCCCCTCTCATCTGGGGATCGGCTCTGAAGCCGACTCCCCATTTGGGAGTCCATCACATCTGACCGGTGGGTATTATCCATCGTTCAACACGGCTATCGAATAGAATTCAACATTGTTCCTCCATTGAGTCCGATCCGGTCAACTTCATGTTCGCCGGTACTTCTCGACAAAATACACCAACTTCTCCGAAAAGGAGCGATTCACCAAGTATTCCCATCTGACAGACTCCACGGATTCTATTCCAGATACTTTACGGTCCCCAAGCAGGACGGTGGTCTACGTCCGATTTTGGATTTACGGGACTTGAATAAGTTTATTATACCGAGAAAGTTTCGTATGACCACCCTTCAAAACATTTTGCCGTTGTTAAGGAGAGGGGATTGGTTCGCCTCACTGGACCTGAAGGACGCCTACTTTCATATTTCAATTCATCCAACTTACAGGCGTTTCCTTCGTTTTGCTGTTGCAAACCAACTTTATGAGTTCAAAGTTTTACCCTTCGGACTGGCTACGGCTCCGAGAGTTTTTACCAAATGTGTGGCTCCTGTCTGTGCCTTCCTACGCCTTCAGGGCATACAAATTTACCCGTACCTCGATGACTGGCTGTTGGTCTCGCAATCCAGAGAAGGACTCCTAGACACCATCCATACAACCCGTACCTTACTAGATAGTCTGGGTCTACGCATTAATACAGAGAAATCTTCTTTTCTTCCGACACAGACGCTCACCTTCATTGGAGCCTGCTTGGATTCGACGCTGGAGAAAGCCTTCCTCCTTCAGGACAGACAGAAGACTCTAGCTCGCCATATCCATCGAAACCGTCGACAGGGAACGGTTACAGCGAGATCCATCCAGAGGGTCCTGGGGTATATGGCCTCCTCAGTTGCCTTAGTTCCACATGCCAGACTTTGGCTTCACCCATTACAACTATTCTTCATCAAGGTGTATCATCCTCAAAGGGACCCACCATCGAAACTGATTCGGATCCCGTCTTCCGTGCTCCACTCCCTGTGCTGGTGGCTGAAGCCAACCAATCTCATGATGGGAGTCCCCTTCAGGGTGCGACCTCCTACGATAACTCTCGGTACCGACGCGTCTCTTCTAGGATGGGGAGCAATATGCTCTGGCCTGTCTACCCAGGGAACGTGAACTCGTCTAGAATCCATGAATCATATCAACTTCCTGGAGCTACTGGCAGTCTTCAAGGCCCTTCGTTCTTTCGAAGACCTCCTTCATCATCAGATCATTCAGATAACTTCGGACACTATAGCGACCGTTTTTTATCTGAACAAACAGGGAGGCACGAAGTCACCAACCTTAGCCAGGCTTTCTATGAGAATTTGGGACTGGTGCATTCAGAGACACATCACTCTGATGGCCGTTCATCTGGCCGGCACAGACAACGTACATGCGGATCTTCTCAGCAGGCACATCTTCATTTCTCACGAGTGGGAACTGGACCCTCGCATACGCAACCACCTGTTCAGGCACTGGGGGTTCCCCGATGTGGACTTACTCGCTACCCAACAGAACAGGGTATGCGAGACTTACTGTTCCAGAGTGGGAATTGGACAAGCATCCCTAGGGGACGCATTTATGATCCCTTGGGACAACATCAACTTCTATGCTTTCCCTCCGATCCCTCTTCTGATGAGGGTCATAGCAAAGATAGTGCGCGACCGTGCATCGGGGATACTAGTTGCCCCTTGGTGGCCACGTCAAGCGTGGTTTGCGAAACTGCTCGACATCTCCCGCGGGGAATTTCTTCATCTTCCAGTGCTTCCATACCTTATAACGCAAATGGACGGCACACTTTGTCACCCGGACTTGCTCTCATTGAACCTGACAGCGTGGCGGATTCGATGATTGACCTTCCATTGGGGCCGACGTCGGATTCGAGAGGCTCGAATCCAACAGCTTCTATTAATCCATCGGTATCGACGATTACTTCAACCGCTTCGGTTCCGATTCTCGAATCCAACCATGCGGGTGCCTCTCACTGCCACAGTCTCTCCGTACCATCCGGTTCGAGACAGCCCCCTTCGAATTCGAATCCAATGCTCTTGCACCCTGAGATTCAGCATATTATCAACTCTGCTCTAAAGCCGTCCACAAGAAAGTCATATACGGCTAAATGGAAACGTTTTTCCACCTTCGCCGAGTCTCATTCGTTCTCCCCACTTGTCTCATCAATTGAACAAATTCTTCAGTTCCTTCTGGAGTTGCATCACTCCAGACTGAAGCCGTCTTCTATTAAAGTATATACGGCTGCACTAGCCTACTACCGTGGCTTAGTCGACGGATCACCCCTATTTTCTCATCCTATCCTCAAGAGATTTTTGAAAGGACTGTATAATCTTAATCCATCTATTAGACCGGTTATGCCCACGTGGAGCCTTTCTGTAGTTCTACAGGCCCTTATGAAGGCCCCCTTTGAACCTTTGGCGACTGTGGATCTCTGATTAGTTTTGTGGAAGACGGCGTTCCTTGTAGCTGTCACGTCAGCCCGGAGGGCCAGTGAACTTTGCACTCTTCGCATCGACTCTCCTTACCTAAACTTCCACAGAGAAAAGGTCGTTTTGCGTCTCGACCCATCTTTCTTGCCCAAAGTCTCTACGTCTTTCCATACAGGACAAGACATTGTACTGCCTGCCTTTTTTCCATCACTGTCGAACCCTTTAGAAAGATCCTTGCATTCCCTCGACGTTCGACATTGTTTAGCCTTTTATCGATCGTGAACAGAGTCTATTCGACGATCCAACAAACTATTCATCAAATATTCTACTAGGGATCAGGGCAACCCAGTCACTCCACAAAGACTTTCTAAATGGATAGTCCACACTATTATCTTGTGTTATCAGTTAGCTAAGCTCGAACTGCCTACAGTTCCCCGAGGCCATTCTACTAGAGCTGTCGCTACGTCTTCTGCATTCGCATCCGGAGTTCCGATTGATGACGTCTGCCGAGCTGCTACTTGGGCGAATCCCTGCACTTTCGCCAAGCATTACCGTCTCGATGTTCGGGCTCGACGGGACTGCTCCTTCGGTAGAGCTGTTCTCTCCTCCGTCCTACAATGAGGACACCTTCCCTCCTCCTTTGATGGTAAGCTTGTTAATCTACCCATATGTGTGATGCACAGAGGCCACGACGAAGAAAAGCAGGTTGCTTACCTGTAACTGATGTTCTTCGAGCGGCCATCTGTGCAGTCACACAACCCACCCGCCGGCCCCGCTCGGTGTCGGTGAGTGGACACATTCATCGGTACCAAAAGTTTCCCATTTTTCTTGGTACCGACCCCTTTTTTTCCTATCTCATACTGAAAATTTTTCCACAAGGGGGCGCACGTTTGGTCGTCAAAGACTGAACAAAATGGCGGATGCGCCGCTCTTTATAGGCCATGGGGGAGGGGAGCGGAGTTTCCCGCCAAAAAACCGTTAGCTGTCAATCTTCCGGCCAAAGGCACTGCGCAGGCGCAGAACCCATATGTGTGGCTGCACAGATGGCCACTCGAAGAACATCAATTACAGGTAAGCAACCTGCTTTTCTGTGCTATCCAACCATTCGTGCCTAATGCTGCTCTGTCAGTTGTGGTAATGACAACTTTGGGATAGAAATGAAATGGAAATAAACCCATATTAAAATTTTGCAAAATTTCATAATTCACATTAGAGTGTGGGGGGAATTTCGGAAATAGAGCAAGGGCCTTAAAATGGCTCGTTCATAGTGAGCACATGGATGGTAGACAGAGCAGCATATGGCATATCGGTCTTCCCCCTATGGTGAGATATATTGTGTTCCTACCTATGTAATAGTTGTCATTTCTAAATTATGCATACAATTTTCTGTGTAAAGCTGTCCGGGTTTTGTTATTTCTCCCAACTACAAGCATATCTAGGCTCATTCAACAGTAAATGCATTACGAACAACATTGCCCACCTCCATTCTCTGCAATATTATTTAATGTGCACAAAGTCATCCTTGTCCTCCTAATCATGATGTGGTTTTTACCACTCCATTACTCTCCCAAATTGGTTTCTTTAGAGTCAACACTTTTAAGGCCATCGTGGTGAAAAGGGTATCAGTTTTGGGGCTGAATTCCATGTATGCTTTGAATTAGCTATCTAATTTATTTGCTTTGAATTAACTATCTAATTATTTGGATCCAGATTTTTAATAGATTTGAATGTTTGCAAGCATATTGCAAAATATCCACGCATGTGGTGCTGCTGGTTGCTTCACCACGCATAAAAGCATGCCTGGATATGTCTGAGGGTGGGGTTTCTTGTCAGCATTAGTGTCCCACCGAACAATATTACTAGTTTTTAACCACACCCTCCAAAAGCTCTCTAGAAATTGAGAAAGGAATTTGGGGAGCAGAAATGCAACCAAGTAAACAAAAACCAACATCACTTTTCACTCCAAATTGCTTGCAAAAATGAATATGCACTTACTTATTTCCTTGTTGCAAAACACAGTGATCACCGTTCTTCGATGAATGTGCACATGGATTTGTGTTGCTATTGGGATCAGCAATGAAATGTCACAGGCTGCTATTCGGGATAGCAGGTACTTCACTCCATTCCTTTTCCCCCACTTTGGTAACAATCAGTTGACATTCTATGGTCACTAAGAACCCAATGGCTTTTCTGGGGGACCTCCACCCCCACCCCACCCTGTTGTGGTTTTGCTTTTCCTCATTGGTTTTGGTACTTTGGACTTTTCCCTAGCCTTCCTTCTTGTGGGTGAGTGGTGACATTTTGTCTAAAAAAACCCAGAGACACTCACGGTCCAGCTATTGGAAACAGAGAAAATGAATGGAAGTGGAAGATGACAGCAGAGAAACTGACTCCATTGAAGGAGCACTAGAGAGTCAAAAGGTTTATAACTCTGCACCAGGAGAAGGAAAACGGGGTGACTCCAAGGGCCGCCCATCATGACTGAGCACAGCCTGGCACACCATCATAGAGCCGTATAATTAGCAATATTCCCACCCAACATTACCAGTTCCAGGAGCTGCTGGATGAGGTAGGAGGCAAAAAATAATTTAACTGAGGAAGCTGATAATTAGCATTATTCCTCTGAAATCCATCACAAGATTTAAGAGCATGTTAAAATCAAGATGTACTTGCTCTGCACTGTACATCTCACCAGAAACCAGATAATTGGCTGGTTATATTAAATAAACAAACATATTGATTTATTTTGTGGTTTAAATGCTTCTCTAATGTATGCCCTGGTGGGCAGATTAGGATACTTATGCTCAGCTCTCCAGAAGTAGTAAAATTAAGAGTCCTTGTTAAGTCACTGCACTGATGCCAGTTTATGGCATCTGAAGATAAAGTCAGCAATGGGACTTACCACACGTTCAGTGTAAGCATTACCGACACGTAACAGGGAAAAAATGTAGCCGTCGCTGCGATGTTTATTGATCAGGTCGAGAGCAAACTCTGCATCTTTTTCTATTTCTACATCATTGCAGTCTGCAGAAGTCACAGAGGACTGGCTTTGAAGGGCAGAGCAGAGCAAGACTGTAATAAACACAACAGCAGAAACCAGTTCCATTTGGACTGTGCGAGGCACTGACATCCCCACCGCACTGCTCCTGTGCCCTGATGAGCTTCTTCCCGAAAAGCCCTTCCAGAGACACACAGGTTGATGCCCAAGAGGACATTTTTCTAACAGACACTGCGTCAAGACCTTAATCTCTGGTTAATAAAGGCAAACAGAAAAGTAATGATTTATGGGGCAAACAGTGAGACAAGAGGACCAAAGAGGGAGACCGAAGCCTGAAAAACATGCAAGTTGGCTGGAATAACACATGGGACCCAAGTGGCCCAAAGGGTAGGCATGTGGCTGCACAGGCTGCTGGAGGGATCAAGGTGAATTTGGCTCAGTGGGTGGAAATAACAAGCCCGCATGCAGGGAAACAAGTGTACTGATTAGCTGTTAGATTTGATGACAGCACGCCAAATTATTGCTCTGCCATGACAGAGATTTCGTCCGCAAAGAATGCATAAGTGGAGTGTGCCAGGCCACATTTCTGTGGAATTAAGGGCAAAAAGTTGGAGGCCGAGTACGCATAAGGCTCTGAAACTGAAGGACTCTTGAGGAGGTTTGCTGCCTTCCCTCTTTGCATCCTCAGGTTGCATCCCAACAGCCACTCACCGAGGGTCTTTGCGCACCAGCTCTTCTCTGCCCACCTCACCACGAGACTTAGGCCATCTTGCAAGCAGCTGATCTGCACTGCAGTTCATCCTGGGCTGCATTCCTATGCAGGGCTCCATAGCTTGGCTTCTTCCTTGATTCAAAAGGCACTAGCTTTCTGGAGTCTGCAGCAAACAACAGAAGAGAGGCACTCAAATTGAATGAAATACAGCAAGAGACATCTTCTCAGAGGTACCAAAGGAGCTGTTTTTTATTTCAACTCAACACATTTCAGAAACAAAAGCGCTGAAGATTTTTTAAGATTGTTGGAGGCAAACACTGAAAACAGATAGGCACAGCCCTCTGCCTAGAGGGCAAGGCAGAATTTTAGGGGCCAGGGGATTGTTGGGGTTGGAGCACTTCTCATCTGTGCTCAGATCCTGCAGGCACACACCCTGGTGGTGGTGAAAGAACCATGTTTTTTCCAAGGCTGTGTCTCCAAGGCTTTAAGAGTGACCATGCAAGGAAGGGTGAAGAGGGTTTTCCAGTGGACAAAGGGGACAAAACCCAAGCTCGGGCTGTGTTGCTACCTCCTTCGCAAAATGACTAGCTTGTCACCAGCTGCTCTGGCTCCTCATTCTCTTTTTCCTCACTGCTCCCACCCACTTGCTGGACAGGTTGATCAAGTTGGCACTTCATCTGCGGCTGCTCTTGCTCACTCTCACCTTCGCTGGGCCAGAGCAGTAGGCAGGCAAGCCAGCAGGCTGCAGTGGGGAAGAGGTGGAACCGCTCTAGAATGGTCTTACAGCAAAGAGGATGCTTAGATGTTCTTTTCCAGGCTTCTTTCATGGCTACTACTAACAACATTCAGTGGTGTTTGTCCTCAGGGGTACAAAGGCTCGTATGATTTTGTTTTGAGGATTGCACAATACAAGGGAGCAATGTGCATGCTTCTCTCCATGTTTGCACTGAGGCCCGGGGAAAAGGTCTGGCTCTGGGTCACAGGGCAAGATCCACATCAGGCAGGGCAGGAGGAAAGTCTGCTCTGCCTGGAAAGTGCACTGCATGAAGAACTAACTGGAAGACTCTTCCAGGGAACTCTTGTTCCAGCCAAGGACTGAGGTCCACTGAGGCTTTAGGAAGCCTCAGGCCCAGGTGAGCCTGGTCTTTTGGCAGTTCCACTCCTGTAGTCAGGCACTGGTTGCAGTTTTTCCAAGGACGAGTGCTAGTTTTTACAGTCTTGTGGGCATGTCTCTTCCTCCTCCTTTGCTTCTCTAGCAGACTCAGATGAGACTTTAGAAGCACAGTCTTTTAAAATTAAAGCTTAACAGTAGTAGTATAAAACAAAATAGCCTTCTGTTGTGATGTGGGGAAGAATCGCCACCAGGTAACTATGAAACTCCTCAGAATCAGATGGATCTCTCTGAGCAGACCGTCACATGTGAGAGCTGGGGCTCCTCTCTATACTCAGTAGGGGAGGCATCCTCAGATTGAGATGATGGGAGAACAACATCTTCTAACTGAATAGGTATACAGAGGGTCCTGAAGTGGAGTCACCTGAGCACTGTCTGGATCCAAGTATTCTTCATGGAATGCAGAGTCTCTGAACCAGGGGACCTGATGGATTCACATCTCAATATGAACTTCCTTAATTCTGCACTTTTGAAACCATATGCAAACCAAATTCTTTGAAATTTGCATGGTTCCAAATTTTGCAATGAAGTTTCTTCAAAGTTCCACCAGCTGCTTGTAGGCTCAACACTTGCCCATCCTGGCTTGTTACCGTTAGTAAGAAGGGGGTAGCAAACTGGATTCAGGAGCCTTTGGGGAAAGGCAGTGGCCAGCCCAGTCCTGAAAAAAGCTAATTTGGACTTAGAAGTGGAGGGAAATTGCAGCCCAGTCACTGAAATCCCCTTCTTACATAACAACATTAGAAAAGCCATGCTGGGTTGGACCAGTGGTCCATCCAGCCCAGCACTCCATTCACTTGGTGGCGAACCAGCAGCCCTCAAGCAGGATGGGTGCAAGACTCCTGCCTGCCCAAACTCTGGTGTATGCAGGTATGCCGCCTCTATTAATGGTGGTTGCATATGGCCAGCAAGGCTAGTAGCCACTGATAGCCTCTTCCTCCATGAATCTTTCCAGTCCCGTTTTTTGAAAGCTTTCCAAATTGGTGGCCATCCAGACTTAGCTCTTCTTTTCATCTATCCCAACTGAGCCTATGGATGTCCTGCAGCAGTGCCTCAGTGGGGGAACTGATGGGATGAGGACCAACAAACTGAAGCTCATTCTAGCCACGATGAAGACACTATTAGCAGGTGTTTAAGCAGTGTCAACTTCTTCCAGAGGGCGCCTTACCTTGGTTCAGTGCTGAATAATAAGGACCAGCATATCATGGTACCAAAATGCACAAAAGCCTGGATTCATCACATGGACCATTGTTCACACACCGCAAACCTGTGAGACTGGTCCTGAGCTCCTCTTTAGACACAGTGCCTTGAACTGTGGGCCAGGGGCCAAGGCAAAGGGACTGCATTGTGCCTCAAGCATAATAATCGCTATGAATAATAGTTCAGGGAAGTGCCCAGTGTCAAGAGCCAAAGAAGGTGAATTTCCTTCAGAAGGTGTAAACCAGGCCATTGGATGATCAACGCCTTCTGTCCCATGCAAACACATCAGCATACTGGTGTCAGCATGATGCCTAGCTTCTGAGAACTTTATTCTCCATGCATTTGCCTAATCTTTCTTTAAAGCCTTTTAAGCTAGAAGCCCTCACCACATCCAGTGGCAATGAATTCTACAAATGGTTTCTCAATAGCTTTCTATTCTTTCCTGATGAATTGCTTTGCGATGATGTTTTTCCTTCTTTCCCTGGCTCAGTCCTGGTGTTCATCTTCTACAGAACTGGCAATCCCTTCCAACTTTATGTAACTGATCTCCTGTCGAGGTGCTGCTCAACATGTAAACAACCCACTCGTTCTCGAGCAATAAAACTAAAGTCCTTTATTGCTACTTGTCTACAAGATTTACAACTCTATAGAGAAGCTCTTCTGCTGAGGTCTTTGGAATGCAGATGTTAATCCTCTAGTGGTGTCTCTCCCCGAGCCCACGTGGGACTAGCCCTCCTGGTCACGCCTTTCTTCCCTCTGGCGTAACAAGGCCTGCCTTTGCTCGTACCTCCTCAGAATGCTACGATTGATTGCTAGGGAAAAGTCTATCACACCCCCTGCGTCTCCTGTGTCATGTTCAGGAAGTTCAGCGTCAGTGGGAGGAGGGACAACCTGCTCTGACTCCTCCTGAGTGGAACTCGCAGTGTCTTTTCCCTCGGGGCTCTCTTGCTTTGATGTGGGCTCGGGTGTTTGCTCAATGGGCAGGGAGTCAGCGGGAGGTGCAGCTCTCTGCTCAGCCACCCCCAAGCTAGGTTGGGGGGTTGGCTTTTGGATACAGGGTCCCAAGCACAAGACCTCCTTGTGGGGTGCAGTCTCTGTTGGGGCTTCAGGCACGACATCTCCTGACTTTTCAGCACCATGCAGTTTTGAACAAATACTTTGTAAGAAGTACAACCTAGCTTGCTTGCTTCCACATTGTTTAGTGTGGAATCACCATGCCCGATTCACTCGCATTTTAGGGAAGGTCCACAGGGACCTCATCCATTCATAAACTGTGTTTTCCCAGTGCTTCTTCCATCTTCTTTCTCACCACAGGAAGTTTGTCTTTAGAAGAGCAGAAAAAAGTGTCATTCCTTACTCAGAAACTATAACATTATATAGGATCCCTGAATATGCTTATGGATTAAATTTTTTTTTCAGATGCTAGAAGGAACACTAATGAAGTCCTGATTCTGGCTCCTGTTCTCTGCTTGCTGCCTCCTAGGGTGAAGTGGGAGCTTTAAATCAGTGTTTTCAACCTTTTACAGTTGGGGACTGTCAAAAATAGGAAAATTATTTCAGGGACTGCTGAGACAGAAATAAGAAGCATTACATAATATACTATTTTTGTGTCTTAGTTTTAAAATCTAATACCAAAAAATGAAAATTCTCTAAAATAACCAGAAACTGAGCGGTAAAAAATGCTAATAAAAGAATAAAATATTGAAATTAAATGTAATTGAAATTTTTAGAGAGCACTATTTAATTCAAATAAGGCTAGTGTGAAGTCTGCTATTGCTTCTTTTCAAGAATTCTTGATAGTCGTGGCTGCAGTGTTGTTTCTAAGAGACAAAGCACTGCAGTGACATCCATTCTGTTTCTGTTAGGTTTTTATCAGTGACAGGACTGAAAAACTCTTTTCACACAAATATGCTGTAGAAAATATGATTAACAATTTAATAGCTCTGTAACTTAGAGACAGATATTCTTTTCTCAGTGATATCTAAAACTGTGACAATGATTGCATTTTATGTTCGGACACCAGAATGGCATCAGAAGATAACTTGATCAATTTTTCTTTTTCATGATGATTAAGTGTGCATGAGTTGATATCTTCCATAAGCGGGTTGTTAATTCAGAGGTTACCTTTGTGGGGATCCTGACTTTCAGGGTAATAATGGTTAAAGTTTTGAACTAACACCTTTAAAAGTTGGCTTGTTATATTAAATATGAATTTCTGGTTGACATCAGCTGCAGTCAAAAATTCTTGCAAATGTGGAAACATTTCTGTATCTTCTTCTTGTACACAACTATCCCAAAGAACCTGTTTCTTTTTCAACACATCCATCTTATTTCTCAGTGTGAAAATATTTGTGCAAAACCGTTGAAGAGAAATATTAAGTTTGTCGAAAAGGCTAAATATATCTGCCATATACGCAAGCTTAGCCATCCATTCCTCATCCAACAAAGGCTCTGCTAATGCAGAGTTCTGCTCTTGCAGAAATTGTTTTACTTCTCCCAGTTCAAAAAGACATGAAAGAACGCTACCTCTTGATAGCCACCTTACTTCGGTATAAAGAAGAAAGTGTTGGTGTTGTGAGTCCATACTTTCACACAGTGTTGTAAACAGCCTGGAGTTTGAAGCTTGACTGCAAATTTCATTTATGATCTTCACTGCATCATTCATCACAGTTTTTAATTCAGTAGAAAATCTCTTTGCAACTAAGTGCTGCTGGTGAATTGCATGGTGAGTGGACAACATTTCTGGATATGCAACCTCCTTTATTTTCACAACTACCCCCGAGCCATGTCCATTCATGCTTGCAACACCATCCATACACACTCTGACTCACTTCTAAGCCCTGTGCTTGAAAATGCTCATTAACAGCATTAAATATTTCTAAACCAGTGGTCCATCCAGGTAAATCCAGTCAACATGATGTTCTTCTCTGAAGTTTCCATCTTCAATATACCTTACTAGGCAAAGTAAAATAGCATGGGTACTCATGTCTGTCGTCAAGCTGAATTGCAAAAATAATAATAATAATAATAATAATAATAATAAAATATTATTATTATTATTACATTTCTATGCTGCCCCTTGCCGAAACCTCGGGGCGGCTTATCTCCTCTACAATTTGCTCTTCAATATTGTTGGCCAAATCAACAATTCTTCCCTGAATGGTATTGTCTGAAAGCAGTATAGCCTCGAGTTTTTGAGCAGCTTGAGGACCCAACATTTTCTGAGTGACATCTAAGATCCAAGGTTTTACCAATTATTTAATTATTTAGAATTTTTGTATGCCATCCCATCGCTTATAGCTTCGGGACGGCTCACATAAATAAACAAACATAATACAAATACAATTAAAACCCAGAAACACCCTGGCTGCACAATTAAAACCTATATATATTATCTAGCATTGTTAAAATATTTTTTAAATAAAAAGGTCTTGGCCTGGCGCTGAAAAACAAATAATGATGGCGCCAGGCAGACCTCTCTGGGGAGCGCATTCCACAGATGGGGCTCCACCGCGTAGAAGGCCCTCCTCTGGGTACTTTGCCTCCTGAGGTCTCTCATGGAGGGCTCCCGGAGGAGGGCCTCTGCTGCCGATCTCAAGGGGTGGGAGGGCAAATATGGAAGCAGGCGTTCCTTTAGGTATCACCATTCTTCACCATTAGTGAACGGTTTCTTTGTTTTCCCTATTCGAAGGACAACTAACTAAGATGCTTGAAGCAGGTGATTTATCTCTAGTCATCATTTTCTTCATTTGAATTTTCTGACTTCATTTGGTCATGTAATCTTTCAAAAAACTAAAGTGGCTTCTCAGTAAGATATCTGTGTGTTGAATGCAAATGATGAGCAAGTTTTGAAGGTTTCATGGCATCATTTGGCAAAATTTCAGAACGTACCACACACAAGAGACGTGCCAATTGTTCTGGGCTATGGTGAAACCAAGTTTTAACTAGTCATTATTGTAATGCCTAACAAAGTCACCTTTTCTTTTTTTTGGTTTCTGTCTCACCGACTGGAGTATCAATATATTTTGTTTTCACTGTTCCTTTTAAACTTGGAGCACCATTACTTGGCTTACTTTTGGTTTCATCAATACTTTTCTTTAGGCTTTTGTTTTCACTTTTGAAGAAGGTTAAAATGTATTGTTGTTTTTCTGTTTCCATTTTATAAGATTCCGTGAAATCTGCTTTCGGGGTCAGGTAGGCAGCAGTGCGGGCTGCAGAAGTGATAGCAGCAGGTGACTTTCTGAATGGCCCTGCCCCTCCTGTGGAGCCGCACCAGCTCTCTCCCTGCTTCCTGCTAGGATCGGCTTGGTTCCCCTGGCAGTGACGGCGGCAGCACTGAGTGAGCGGGAAGAGCAGGCTGAGCACGAGTTGCAGCTCTGAGAATGCTGCTGCCCCCACTGCTGCCCCCGCCACTGCCCCCTCAGCACGTCATGCGAGTGGCCCCAAGCTGCCTGGCTCGGGTCTTGTGCCACATGACAAGGCGAGCAGCTCAGCTGTCTTCCAGGTGCTCTGGCACACCAGTGCAGCCTGCTGTTGGAACATCGGGCTGGCACACGCCGTGGCATGGTTCTGGCCAGGGCTTTTTTTGTCATAGAATGCACCGGAACAGTGTTCCGGCACCTTTTTTTGACGGATTTTTCCATGTGATTGTGAATCGCCCTGTCGGGCGTAGCAGGTCGGCAGCAAAAAGCATTAACGTAGTGCCTGCGGGCTGCGTGTCTGCCCGCGCTGCTTGTGAGGGCGCTGCTCGGCTCAGGACGCTGCTCAGCTTGGGATCGGTCGTGTGGTCGCGTGCTGAGTGCTTACTGCCGGCAGCGACCATTATGTTTATGTGTGTGTAGAGTGACTGGCTACCTGTAAAAGGTAAATAAGTTCTTTATTTCAAAAAAAGTTGGTGAATTGAAAATCTTTTTTAGTGTAAAAGTGTGACCCCAGGAGGTGAGTTCCGGCTCTTTTTTTTTTTTACAAAAAAAAAGCACTGCTTCTGGCCACAAGGTTGCAGTGGGGCGACATGCTTGTGCTGCAAGGCCTGGCCGCCCCTCTGCAGCTCCTCTGCAACACTTAGCTCCGCAGAGCGCTGTGCCCCCTGCCCCCCTGGGCTTCCTCATCAGGGCTGTGGGTGAGAGCGCAAGTGGTGAGTGGCCATTTCTAGAAATTTCTGGCAGATCAGTGCCAGTCTGTGGACCAGCGTTTGAAAACCGCTGCTTTAGCTGAATCAGGGAGCGGCAATGCGATGCTGGAGGACAGAACGGTGTCCACCTGAAAGCACCACCTGGCCACCCCAGTAGCTGTGAGGGAAGCTTTGGTGGCCCATCCATCCTGGACACCCTTCCCCCTGCAATTTCAAGATGAAGGTTCTTTGCATGAGTGCTTCCGTTTCTTTTCGAGGAGCCTCTTGGTTTTTTCGACCAAAACAGCTCAACACACATTTGCAAGGGTTTCCTGCAACACCAAGGGCTACAGACACCCTTCCCCTCAAAAGTGATCACGGAAATGGTCTAGTTTCTAAAATAGCCGCTAGAAAGACCATTAAGTCACATTGCCCATTTATTGGGTTATGTTGTAGAATTTGCTGCTACAAGGAAAACGGGCGCTTTTCTCATATTGCAAGGAAGCGGTCTTGAATTGAGCAACAAAGGGAAGAAGAAGGGGGGCGAAAAGAAGGTCACTTTTGCTCTCGTGATGCCACTTGGGGAAGGAGCAGGGAGCATTTGGCAGCCAGGGGGGTCACTTCCGCAATGGAGACGCCCTTACATTCTCTCCGTGGATGCAACTGATGCACTGTTTGTGTTTTCCTGAGTAGGACCACGAGGCATGTAGTTAGAAAAACCCAGCTGGATGGACAGGGACTGGCATGTAGGTTGGGAGGTGGTGGAAATTTCATCTTGAGTTAGTGAAATAGGCCTGACTGAAACATGGGAAGCACACATTTTTACTCCCTTTCCGAGTTTTATACCATAGTGCAGGTGTAGTTCTACACTGGCAGGCTTTCTGCCCCTCAGGCTGCTTTGCTACAAGTCAAGTCCATCAGGGCTTGGAGCGCAAAGACTGGAAGTGCTGGGGCAGTCACATCAGCTTGTTCAGATGCCTGCATGGTCCTGATATAAAGCATGGGACCGGGAGGCCGTCTTTACAGCCAGCGGCATCGTCTGCTCTCCTGTGCTCTTTTCGTTAAGTATTTCCCTCCCAGCCCGTTTTACTTGAAAGGAGACACACTCCCTTCCCAACTCAACCTCACACTGTATATGCAAACCAGCAAGACTCACACATTGTGATTGTAGTTGCCCATCTTACCTAATTTGAACCAAATGGTACAGGGAAAGTGCATTTGGGATCTCATTTTGGGAAAGCACTTTCATTGACACAAATCACTAATGAAATGTAATGTAAACTCTACATCTGTAATGCAGAGCTTCCTCTGGTACCCTTGTGTGTATAATGCAAAATCCACTTGGAGAATGTGTGAATGGGTACAATTCACCATCCAGTGGGGGAGTATGTGAATGGATGCAATCCATGATTAAGTGGGAGAATGTGTGAATAGTCCAGTCCATGACCCAATGGGAGAACATTACCTTTTTAAAGGAAGAGACCCTGAGAACTAGGCTATCCTTTCTTCTGCAAAAGCTTCTCTCAGGCAGCAGTGATGCGCTTCATGTTGACCACCCGATTTCGTGCTCACCGTTATTCTGCTTGGGAAGTTTGCGGGGGTGGTTTTGTGACAGGCCTTTGGCGCAGCTCAAGGCCATGGATATGTATCCTGGTCTCCCCTGGGCATGAATCTGATTCTGAAAACCCCGTGGGGAATGGAATGATCACGTCTGGTCGCCCCACTGGTAGGGCCCCCTCAGAAATGCCGTGTATTTCAGGAAGGGTGGAGTCGATATTTGGGCCTTGCTCCTGAGGGGGAACAGGGCTCCCATCCCATTGTTCTGCTCCAATTTTAGGTAAAGAATGGAGGGACACGTGAGAGTTCGAACGAGGCAGAACGGTCACCCGACCCAGTGATCCACGGTGATGTGGCAGGTTTCGGTGCCCATCTGAGTGATTATGATGATGGTGGTGGGGATGGGGAGGGCCAGGATGGTGGGCATGGGGAGGGCCGGGATGGCGGGGATGGGGAGGGCCGGGATGGCGGGGATGGGGAGGGCGGGGGTGCTGTTGGTGCTGTTCCTTCTCTCTTTGATGATGGCCATGGCCCTCTTCAGAGTCAGCTCCACTCTGTGGATTCTCTTCATGGGTGTTGCTTGCCTAATAGTGCAAAACAGAAGGAAGGTCTCCTCAGGGGTTGATAGAAATTAGATGCTCAAGCGCCAGTGTGCGTGATCATCCCTGCTTGTGGTGATAGTATTTTCCTGCATGCAAATTGTGGCATCCTTCTTGGGGCAGTTTACACATAGCATGTAAAAACTGAAGTGCCTGTTTGTGGTGAGCAGATCCAACCACCTGCTCACTGTGTAGGTCCAGGTACCAAAAGGACACCAAGAATGGAGGAATTGATTGGGCAGCCCTAGAAGAAGGTGGCTTGGATTCAGCCTCTGCTTGTCTCCCATAAGTTCCCAAAGGACATGGCCTTGCGATAAAATGCATTGTAATAACAACATCAAGGCAGACCAGGGGTCCATATGACACACTCTTGTGGATGCCAACTGGGCATGGTTCTCCAGGTTTTCAGGCAAGAGTCTTTCCTAGTCTCACCTGGAGTTGCTGGGACTGAGGCCGAGACCTTCTGCATGCAACTTGGTTCTATCATGAGCTATGGTGTTCCAGGAGCCTATGTGGCTGGCTTACTGCTATAAGGAAGGGAATGTTACCAGTGGGTTGATTTAGGGTCAGTCATCTTGATCAGCAGTAAGATTAGTCTGGTTGTCAATGGTTCCAAGCCATTTCATCTGTGAACATCTATTCTACCTAATCCTGTGCATGCAAGATGTAAAATTGAAAAAAATGCTATCTGGGTGGCACTGGCCTTGAAACCACAAATGTGGATTTGTCTTCCAGGACCTCATAATACTGCTGGCATGAATGTTTTCCACCATTCTTGACTCCCCCAGTCCATTCTGTCTGGAAACTTTGGCTGGGTTCACACATAACGACAAGCCATGGTAGTTTCCACTGTAGGATGGTTTGTCGTTCATCTGAACCCTGTCATGGTTTTCTATGCGCTCCATTTGGTTTCTGTGGAACCAAGGCGAAAAAGAGGGGTCTGTTGTATGGTTTCCATGCTTCCCCATGGCTTATATAGTCAACAATTCAGCTTCCAAACGCCTACCATGGAGCCTGGTGGAAACAGTAGCAAACACAGGCGCAACGCCAGCCATCCAGCCTCTATTTGCAGACCAGTGAGGAAGAGGCTGGTGATGTAGGCAAGTGCAGGGCACCCTCGGGTTGAATTTCAACCATGGCAGCTGATGGGATACGTGCAGTAGATGAAGCAAGCTGGGCGGCATGGCTAGAAACAAGTGTTGCAGGAGCGACTGGCATAGGCACACTAGAGAGAGCTCTCTCTTTCTCACTTTCGTTTTGTACTCTCATTGTACAGGTATTTAGACACTGACTTTGAACCCTTTCAATCCTCTGCTGCTTTGAATTGTTGGGCTGTTTATTTTTAATTGTCCATTGGCATTCTGATACTGTTTTTCTTTTGGTTTATTTTATGGCATGCCACCTTGGGACCCACTCTTTGATGCACATGCAATGCAGTGAGTGGATCTGAGTGCCTCTGAGATGCCAAGAGCAATGCTGCCAGGAGGCCAGGATCTCTCACTCGACTGGTCTCCTGGCAGGGTCAGCCCAAGGTGAAATGGTCAGAATGGGGACACGGACTAAGCTTCATCCACTTGTGCACGGTCACTTCAGCAGAAGAGAATGGGTGTTTCCAAAGGTGATGAGGGTGGAGAAACTCCCAAAGAGCAGCTGCAGGGCAGCAGTGGTGGTTGAAGGCAACCCTGGAAGGTGATCTTTTATAAATAACAGCGGTGATGCTGAAGCTAACTTTCATTAGTGCTGTACAGAAGAAGGCAGCAAAGGTAAACCATTCTGAACATTCTTATTTTGTAAAAGTTATACTTGAAACAAAGATAGTGCCAGAATATGATACTCTCAGATCAGAAGGCACTCAACTAGCAACTACGAGAGAGCAAAGAACAAGTATGAATAGCACTGTTGCTATAATGCAACTAGTTTAAAGCTAAAGGAAGTCTGGTGGCTGACATGGACAGAGGCAAAACAAAAGCCGAATGCTGCACAATGCATAGAATTAGAATGTGGAATGTGAGAAGTATGAATTAAGGCAAACTGGAAACTATAAAGCAAAAAATGGAATGGTTAAGCACTGTAGTACTTGGTACTGCAACATAATGTAGTCTGGAAAGGGGTAGACTTTTCAGACAGACAAGCACAAAGTACTTTCCTCTGGAACTGACAAACTTGGAAGAAATGGAATGGCTCTAATATTGAGCAAAGTTGTCACACAGGCAATAAGGGGTAGAAGGCAAAGTCCAACTGAACCCTATCAATCAGAATTCTCAGAAAACCTATCAGCATAGCCATCATTCAAGTCTATGCTCCAACAGTAGAAGCTGTGAAAGAGGAAATTGAAAACTTTCGTGCGGGCAACTGATAATATTCCAAAACAAGACATGCCTGATCATCATAGGTGACTGGAGCGCAAAAGTAGGAAACAGAGTCCAATGTTGTGGGAGATTTTGGCTTAGGGGTAAGAAATGAAGCAAGAGACTGGCTCATAGAATTCTGGGAAACTAACCATTTGTCTATGGCAAACACATAGTTTAGGCAACTGATTGGATGACTGTCCGATTGACATGGACATCCCCACTTGACCAATATAAAAATCAAATAGACTATGTAACTGGAAGCAGGAGATAGAGAATCTGTATTCTCACTGCCAAAATAGTACCAGGAGCAGATTGTGGAATTGAGCATGAACTATTAATATAAAAATCAGAGTAAAGATGAAAAGGAGCACTAAAAGAAGCCTAGTGCCAAAATACAACTTAAATGACATTGCTGAGGAATCTAAAGTCTACAAAAAGAACATAAAAGACTCGTTAGACTATGAGCCAGAAGAATTATGAACTAAATCCAGAGACATTATCAGAGAATAATGTCAAAAGAACATTCCTGTAGCAAAAGGAAAGAGAAGGCCTAGACTGTTGACAGAAGAAAGACTCACAATTCCTAAAAATAGTCAAGAAGCAAAAACAAAAGGTGAACGAAAAGGGTCAGAATCCCTTTTTTCAGCACTATCACATACAGATAAAAACAGCTGGCCAATGCAAAGAAATAAACAACAACAAAAGAAGGAAACCAGGACTTTTTCAGAAGATCTAAGAAATCAAAGAAATTCAAACCTAGATTAGGAATGCTAAATGACCAAAAAGGGAACATACTATCTGACCAGGAGAAAGTAAGAGAAGGTAGAAAGAATATACAGGCGTACAGAAGAGATGAAAAGATGACAGACTCCTTCAAAGAGGAATCATGTGAAGAAGAGCCTGCAATGTTAGATAGTGAAGTGAAAGCTGCCCTGAAAGCACTTTGAATGAATAAAGCACCTGGAGTAGATAGAGTACCAATAAAGCTATTCCAAGCTGCATAGAGTGAATTGGTCCAAATCCTAACAAGAATGTGCCAAAAAAGCCCAAAACAAAAACTAAATCTCAAAACAAAACTATGCCCCACAGACTGGAATTTTTCAATATGCATCTCCAAGAAAGGAGATGTAAAAAGCCCACCTACAGGACCATAACATTGATTTCCCATGCAAGCAAAATGATGCTTAAGGTGTTTCAGCAAAGAATGTTACCTTATATTCAGCAAGAAAAGTCTGATGTTCAAGCTGGATTCCAAAAAGGAAGAGGCACTCAAAAGAATAGTGAAAATATATGTTGGCTACTGGAGTGGACCAAATAATTTCAGAAGAAGATCAAATTGTAGACTAAACTTGATCAGGAGTAAAGATGTTTCACCAGAGACCAGGGCCGAGACCAAAGCTGTTGTACTTTGGACACATTATGAGAAGGAAAGACTGACTGGGGAAGACCATTATGCTACAGAAAGTAAAAGGCAGAAGAGGAAGGCTGAATATGAGAGGATTGATTCCATAAAGGTTGCCACAGTCTTGAATTTTCAAGAGCTGAGCAGGACTGTGAAGGACAGGACATTTTGGACAGATTTCATTTATTGGGTAACCATAAGTTGGAGGCAACTTGACAGCACATAACAAGCTCCGCCACCACCTTGGAAAATAGTTGTAGAAAGAATATAAAGGCATTTAAATAAATAAATAAATAAATAAATAAATAAATAAATAAAGTTTATATACTATGGATTATTATTTTCTGTAAATAATGCCTGATGGAATAACATACCTGTCGGGGGAAGAAATCACAGTTTACACGAGTGAACTTCCGATGTTCTATTTGACTGTATACTACAGAGCCTTTGCATAGACCTATTGTCTAGGAGAAAAAGGATACCTTCATTAGTAGGGTATTTAAGGAATCCATTCAAGCTAGCCTAGACATTGTTCCAATATCTAAAATAACCAAGGAAGGCCAATTATCTTACATGACCCAGAAGTAGGTGTGACTCTTCTTCATCAAGGGCTCCCCTTTATTCTTCTTTTTGTCTGATGTGTCATCTCCTTGCCTCAGAATAGATCTCAGGGGAGCTTGAGACAGGTGCATGTACAGTAGTGTTAAATTCTTCAGGCACATCTATGCTAGAGACTCAAAGCTCAGTTCCTATGCTCTCTGGAAGGGTCTTACAGGGGCCATAGGATACTTTGGACCTTCCCCTCTGAGGGTGGGAAGATAGGACTGCTGTCAGAGGAGATCTGACGTAGAATGGGGGATGTGACCATAATCTGCCCCTTTTTGAAAGTGTTGCAGAAGATTCTGCCTTCCAGCTTCTGTGGAAACATCTGCAGTTCTTTGAAAAAGAGATCATGGGTGTGTCCAGGGATGGACATCAGCCCTGGAGGCGCCATAAACAAATTTGTTCCAACTGGTTGGAATGGGACGAGAACCATCCAAAGCCAAGCCGGCATGCTGTCCATCCCTTTCTTTTGCCCTGCTGGTGTGAGCATATGGCCTGCTTCATGATGATAAACAGGGCTGCTTTGTAAACATCTTTAGCAACTCTCCCTTCTCCCTGTAGCCCTGAGAATTGTTATTCCATGAGAGGAAGGGCTGGTGGAGAATTTTCACCATGCTTGCTAACTATAGTCACAGGATTTTTTTGGAAACTGCAAGAGTTAAAGAGTTAGAAAAGTGGTATTTGTTTGAAGGGTAAATATGCTCTTTTGCTGCAGGCTAGCAGGGTGGGGAGGGAGACTAGAGAAGGATATTGAATGAATCTATCTCCTCTCTTTCCCTCTGTTTTGATGCTACCTAACAGAGCTTCTTCTGTTAAGCAGTACAAAAATCAATTGATTAAATGGTTAAATAATCTTCTCCAAATACTGGCTCTGTTTTAAAATTATCTGCAAGCTATGATTGTGGAAGCTTTTGTATTTGCAGCCAGTCTTTTTGGGGGGGGGCAGGTTCTGATATTTATTTATTAAAAGCTTTTGTATGCTGTTCTATTATACAAGATCTCAGGATATCGTCACTTGCACCTGTAAACTTGATTTGGTTATAGAATGGTCCCCTTATGAACTCATAATGTCAACTCTCTGTGGGCCTGGACTTAGGCTTAAGGGATTGCTCCTAACAATCAGAAAGCAGGGTTTAAAAAATGTACAGATCTCCAGCTGTTGGTTCTAGGTAGCTGATGTTCAGTGATCTCCCCAGAGAGGAGGTGACTAAGACTAGATGAAAGTGCTAAGTCTGGCAACCCATCCACAAGTTCATCTTCGTGGTAGGTCTTCTGGTAGAATGCCTAGTCTGTAGGCATAAGCAAAACCAGAACGTGTATGTCCCAAGCTCTGTGATATCAAACCCACCAGAAAAATAAGTTCCTGGAGAACTAATAAATGGTGCGCAATGGCTAGTGCTACACAGGTGAAGTTTTGCACAAAACAGAGGAATACTCACTGCAGTTTCAGGTGGGAGGAGTGGGCACTTGGAAACATCAGGTCCAGACTTGCTTTTGCTGCAGGATGTCTCATGGATGGTAAACTCCACACTTCTTGAAGGACCAACAACCCACTATAAGAAGAGTTTAGGCAAGGGTTTTAGAGAGTTCGCATCACCGGTAGGAGATACCAGTTCATAAGGCTCAAAGGCCTATTGCCTCGTTACAGGTACAAAACAGTTTGAGTTGCAGGGATGTGTGGATTATGTTAAAACTTTTCCATCTATGTTTTGTGGATTGTCAGTAATCTTGCATTCCATCATTCGCCCGTGGATAGAATCAGATGTTTTTAACCAGCATGTCATTGTACTTGCACCAACCTGTTGATGTTTTTCTGCACAGCTCATTCTTTTTATGCATTTTTAGCATGTGCCAAAGCCTTGATAGCTTCACTGGGAACTTGATTTCAGTTTCCCAACTGAAACCTGGCCTTTCACCCCAACTCTAATATAAAGCTGAATTGCTATGCTTCGAGATAGATTTCCATATTGTTGGGCTCTTCTTCTGCACAGCTCATTCTTTCTGCCCATTATACAAATCAAGGTTTCTGGGATATTGATCATGGAACATCCACGGTGTGACAACACTTTGAATACACTTTCAGTTCTGGTCATTGAACTAAAAAATGTATTGTAGAGTTGGAAAGGGGGAGAATGAGGCAACTACAGTGATCAATGGGTTGGAGCATGGGTCCTCAAACCACGGCCTGCGGGCTGGATCCGGCCCGCTGTGCCCGTTTATCTGGCCTGCCTCAGAGGTTCTGGACTCGCCACGTACATGCGTGGGCTCATGGGCATGTGGCAAGGCAGCAGCTTGCTCTCACAGAGATCGTTTCGGACTCGCTTGGAGAAAATGATCTCTGTGTGAACAAGCTGTGGCCTCGCTTCACGCGCGCCCCTGCCACTTCGCCGCGCCTCCCCCTCCACTGGCACCTTTCAACTGCCCCCCTGTTGGAAAAGTTTGAGGACTCCTGGGTTGGAGCAACTCTCTCATGAAAGAGGTCATGGAAAATAGATTTTTGCTAGCAGTGCTGTGTCTGGAGGGTACCAAGTTATGCAGGTTATGAAGTCTTTTCTAAAGGATTTCATCTATTCTGTATTGTATTGCTGTATTGCTGTATTGCTGAGATGCTACAGCAAACATGACATATGAACAAAAAAGCTCTTCCAGATAAAACCAGGGGTCCGTTAAGCCCACCATCCTGTTCGCAAAGTGGTCAACCAGCTGCCCAATGACAAACCTCCAAGCACGACATGAGAAAGAGCATCGCCCTGCCCTTGTTCCCCAGCAACTGTTGTTCATAGCACATATGCTTCTGGACTAATAGACATTGATAGCCTTCTCCTTCATGAATTTATCCCCCCTCCCTTTGAAAGCCTTCCAAATTGGTGGCCATCACTACATCTCATGGAAGAGAATCCCACAGTTTAGGTGCTATGTGAAGAAGTCGTTCCTTTTGTCCATCTAGAATCTCTCGCCACTCAACTTCAAGGGATGACTGCTTTGTTGTTGTTAGTCGTGAAGTCGTGTCTGACCCATCGCGACCCCATGGACAACATTCCTCCAGGCCTTCCTGTCCTCCACCATCCCCCGGAGTCCCCCGGAGTCCACCTAAGCTCACGCCAACTGCTTCAGTGACTCCATCCAGCCACCTCATCCTCTGCCGCCCCCTTCTTCTTTTGCCATCTATTGTTCCCAGCAATAGGCTCTTCTCCAGGGAGTCCTTCCTTAACTGCTTTAGCCTTTAGTAATATGAGATCGGGAGAGAGATGTCGCTCTGTGTGCTTTCTCCAACACTGTACATAATTTGGTACGCTTCTGTTATGTTGCCCCTTAGGGAATTTTTCTGAGCTAAACAATCCCAGATGTTTATCATCAGGGCATTGTTCAGTCCCTCGATCATTTTCATCTCCCTTTTCTTTTTGCAGCTCTACCATACGCTTTTAAAGTTTGATAACCAGAACTTCACACAGCATTCTTGATGTGGTCACCCCACATAACTGCACAAATGAAAGTAGAACCTTGGCTGTTCTAGTTTCACTTCCTTTCCTAATTTTTCCTTTCCAATGACGAACTTGTCTCTTTGCACACTGGCCTAACATTTTCATTGTGCAACCCCAAGATCTCTTTGTTGGTCAGTTCAGGGAATGTGCTGCCCCGACAGGCATCATTTCATGCTGGGTGGTCTCCCACATTGAACTGCTACCTTACCTGGAAACTTGCTCTGGTGACATTGAGGATGGCAAATAAGTGCTCCTGGTTGCTTTCTGCATTGAACTTGGCAAGGAGCTCGGCAGCTGCCTCTTGATATTCGGTCTCTGTTGAATCGCTCTGTATAGGGCAGTCTGGGCAGCTTCTTACAACACTTGCAGAAGAAACTATTTGGAAAGAAAAACAGTAACTGATCAGTACCAGTCAGGCTGGCCTTCTGCAACATGCCACCCTCTTGTATGGCCATTGGCTGAACTCAAATCTTTGGAGCAGCAGGACTGAATTTTATCACTTCTGTGCCAATGCAGTTGAACCATGCACCGGAGCCCTTGCGTCGTGCACGTGTGTGTGTGCAATCTTGCATGGGGATAGCAGAGGTCTCCCATCCAAGGAATCGCTTGGGCTCACATTGCTTCATTGCGCTGCTACTGAAGCAGTAGGCCCTCTTCCTCATTTCTTTCTATTTTTGCTTTCTTCCCAAACCTTTATCAAAATTGAAAGGGATGGGTTATGTAAGTGCTGGGGCACAGGGTTGCAGGATCCTCTTGGAATTTGGCTCCCTTGCACTCTTTGGGCTGCTTTCTCATGCCCAACACTGGCTTAGGAAGTGAGCCAGGCTGAGAACAAGGCTATGGACTCTTATGAATGCTGGCGGAACTCCTCTATGCCCACACGCTTCTAGTGGAGCTCATACACCAAGCCCACAAGTCAGGTGAGTAGGAGAAGGACTCTGCTTGTGCCATAGACATGTGGGCAGTCATGTCACACAATAGGACACAATTCCTGGCAGATGCCTCCATGGACATGGAGTGCACTTGATGCAAAGTTTGACTTGGACCGGAGAGAAAGAAAACAAACTGGAGTCTTGGGAGCCAAGCCAAGGTGATCTGTTAGAGGTGCGCCCTCAACTAGATCCCTCCCACATCACTTCTGGAGTACTAGTTTAGAGTGCAAGGCTAGATGAACTCCCCCAGTGATCTCTCTTCAGGGCAAATGACATCTGAGCACCGTCACCCTCTCTGCCCCAGCACTATTTTCTCCCTAACGGAGTTGCTGGGTGCATCCCCCGGGTGCTTCTGTGAGGAAATCCCCTGACTGTCTGCCTTCTTCCTCACTTGGGAGGTCTAGAACCGTCCTCGCTTGGGAGGTCTAGAACCGTGCAGCGAAGTGACTGTTGGCTTGGCCAGGACACTTTCCTCCATGGGGAGGGGGGAAGTCCCTAGGGCACCACGCACCTCTGTGCATTGCCCCCACTTGTCTGTGCACGGAGGCAGATGGTGATCCTCTTCCTCACAGCTGAGCCCCTCACTGTGCACATCCCCTGCTGTTATTTTCAGTCTTGGACTGGAGAAAATGAGGGGGGCTTTTTACTCAGTGTACACAGGAGAATCCCTGCTATTATCCTTGATCAGAGGACAGAGATAATGGAAGGCATTCCTCCAGGGATGGGACTTGGAGGCCGAGGCTTGTCCCCTGGAGGACTCACAGAAGGTAATGTGGCTCATGGGGGACCCTCTATGGGCTAAATCATGCCTGCAGGACAGAGGTCTCCTTCCCCTGTGTTCCCTGGTCATCTTTAGGCATTTATTTTTACACTTTGCAAGGCCAAGCTACATGTCACTGCAATGCACAATACATTTAGCATATCTTGTTCTAGATCGCAACCTCTTTGGGTGCTGCATACAGCAAAAGCCTCCTTCTTTCTGTGGAACTGCAGTTCTTATCATAATCATCCCCACCCACCTGCCAGCTGCATTTAATATAACATGTAGCTTGACCCTCAGTAACAAAATTAATTGCGGCTTTAAAATGCCATCTTTGTGTCTCATTTTCAAGATCCAAAGCAGGATGTCATCTGGTCATGGTGTGGTTTTGGCCCGGATTATTTGTATTTAAAAAGTAATCATGTACAATTGGGATAGATTTGAGCTTGTCAAAGCTACTGGTTTGAACTGGCTGGCTGAATTGTTCAACAGGTGAGGCTTATGTTGAGTCAATTATGGGTTTATGGCTATAATTCAAAGATCAAATGAGTATCAATTTTTGGCCCAGTAGCCCTGGTGCAACTACATTTTAATGTGCATGGGCCAATCTTTCAAATCGGAATGGGAAGGGGAAAGTGTGGGTGTTTACGAATATATAAGCTTTCTTGCAGTCTTGTATTCAAGCAAATATATAGAAATACGTACTTGGGCGTATATTGCAGTCGTAATGAAGCAGAGTAACTTGTTCCAGAATTTCATTATACGCGAGTGTTACTTTGCACCCCCCATAGACCTAGAACATTAGAATGGTAGCTAAGAGTCACAGAACAAATTTATTTTGTGAATAATTAACTGTTAGCTTAACCAAGCGTCTTGGCTTTTTCCAGACCCAGGACTTAACTTGCAAGGCAGAGTAATTACTTATTTTACTTTTATTACGTTTGTCTACCAGATCCATCCTCTCTAATTCTCTCGCCCTTTCTATGCTTCTCCTTCTCTCTCTCTTCCCCCCTCCCCACAGGGCAGAAAGAGACATTTCCAAAAACAGGCGGCTACTTCATAACCAGTGATGGTGTGCACTGCTCCCCCACCTTCCATAACATCTCTGGAAACTTCTTGGAGGTGTTAGATGGAGTGCGATAGGAGAGCGTCTCACACTAGGTCAGACCACGGAGGTCATGGCCTGGCAGGGGCTCTCCAGCATTTCAGGTTAGTTTTTCCCGCTCTCCCTGAAGATGCAGGCCATTAAACCTGGGACCATCTGAATGCAACGCATATGCTCTAGCAGTGAATTAAAGCCCTGTGTCTCTCCTCCTCTCCACCTCTTCTGTATAGCTCACCTCCTGCACTAATCCCCCTCCCCGGTTTTTCTTTCCATGATCTTTGTCCTGCCACTCAGGGATAGAGGAGAAATTAATTCAGTTTGCATTTTAATTTTGCCCTTTCAAGGCAATATGCAAATTGAAACGCAGCTATTCTTTGACATCTGCTCTCCAAATGTTGGTGTAGAGTTTTTTCTCATCAAACAGATACATGCAGATATGTAAGTGGAAACAACATACTGAAATGAATTCTGTTGGTAAAATGCCTTGCAAAAAAAAAAGTGCATTGGAGGGAAAGTTGCGCACAAAAACGTGTGCAGGAGGGAAAAGGCACACAGAACGCATAGGAATATTTGTGAGCATTGTTAAATCAATGTTCTCGAATGTTGGGGTGAACTCAACCTGGGAAAATGAAAAAATGAACGAAACAGAAACTGGCAGAAACTCCATCCTTCGTGAACCATCTGTTTACCTTTTCCAGAATTTTCTGTGTTGTATGTGCTGTTCATGTACCTGTGTGTATGTATGTACATTCCGTCTACATGGGAAAAATGGTGACATGGGGGTAGTAGCTACAGCTTGCGAGGACTTCAGGGGAAAACAAGCAAGCTATAAAGATATGCGCACAGTGTGTCAGGGGCACAAATCCCCCAGTCGCCAACGTTAATCAGTTTAAACAATCTGATCTGAAATCAATCAGAACCTCTCTGGATCCCATCAAAACAAAACTCCAGAGCCTGTCTCCTTGGTTAACAAACCTGTGCATTCCTTCTCTGAAGTGGATGGATGACTTACTTACCGTCTCATGTGCTGGTCTAATTCCAGCATCTTTCCACGATTTCTGGCTCAGGACATGGCTGTCAGTTTCTACCACATCCAAAGTGAGAAAGAAGATGGAGTCATGGGGCACCTGCAGATGAGCAGACAAACTCTTTCCGGCACAGAAATGGAGCAAGCAATGAAAAGGTCTGGCAGGGTACCTACCATCCTAAATAAATTATATGGAAGTAAGTTGACTTGATGCCAGCCTACGTCCTGTGGGATCATCCTTTTACACTCACAGGCTCCCAGAATACAGTGGTATCTTGGCTCACGAACTTAATCCGTTCCACGACTCTGGTTGTGACCCAAATTGGTTGTGACCCAAGTCAAATTTCCCCATAAGACTCAATGTAAATAAGGTTAATCCGTTCTGTAACTATTTTTTTTAATCAGAAATTTTGAAACAAAGTGACAAAGAACAACAAAGTAACAAGGTACTGTACAGTACTGTACAGTGGAGAAAATGAACCTAGGTGGGGGGGGGGGGAGGTTATTGTTTTGAGGGAGAGTCCCCCTCCATAAGGACACTGGGGAGATGTCTTTCAGGAGTTTCCTCTCTTCTTTGTCCCTTAGCTGCAGGTTCAATTTTGGTGAAAAATCTGTCTATAGTCACTTGTTTTTTCCTGTGCTGCATAACCCTCCGGAAATGAGAGACCACGTTATCATTCGTCAGATTCAACACTCTGTTCGTTACAGAGTTATGCTGGGGTGATGCTTCTCAAAGAAATCTTGGCATGGGCATGCTGCAGGAAAGACAGGTGCAATCTTGGCCATCTTCCCTCCCCCTCAAACCAGAACGATCGTGGCCATCTCCCCACCCCCGAGTGGGGAGATGGCCACGATTGCAGTCGTGTTCGTGCAGGGAACACATGTGTGATCGCGGCTGCGCTGCGCTGTGCCCGTCTTTCCTGCAGGAATGTGCCCACTCGGGGGGTGGGGGGAGATGGTTGCGATCTTGGTCGCTACCCAAAGTGGAGTCCGTGGCCCAAGTCAAAATTTTCATGAAATTTTTGTTCTTGACCCAATTTGGTCATGAACCAAGGCGTTCGTGAGCCAAGGTACCACTGTACCCCAAATGCTCTCAAGGGATGCTTTGAGAACATTTTCTTCAAAACCCATGAAGAAGGAGAGCCCAAAACTGGTTTAGCAAGTGTATTTCAATAGAAGAACTACCCTTACGGTGTTTCCAGCAGTGGTTTTTTATGACACCACCACCCTGCCTCACATATGGAATTTTAACTCAGAGTTAGTGCGCTGCAGTGGTTAAGAGTACTGTACTCAGGTGATCTGGGTTCTAGTCCCTGCTCAGCCATGGAGCCACCTGGGTGACTTTGGGCCAGTCACAGACTCTCAGCCCAACCTACTCTCAGTCAGACCTGAGCAGGTACTCCGTATCTAAAAGGATCTGGACAGACTATGGAAGTGGGTCAGGGTTAACAAGATAGCGTTCAATGCAGATATGTGCAAGGTCCTGCACTTGGGGCATAGGCATGGGCATCACAAGTACAGGTTAAGGGACAAGTGGCTGGAGAGCAGCACTTGTGAAAAGGATCTTGGGGTACTGGTTGACTGCAGGCTGAACATGAGCCAGCAGTGTGATGTGGTGGCCAAGAGGGTGAACACCACCCATGGATGCATAGCCAGAAGCATGGCTTCTAGATCAAGAGACGTATTACTGCCACGCTATACAACTCTGGTGCACCTGCAGCTGGAGTATTGTGTTCAGTTCTGGGCCCCTCATTGTTAGAGGGATATAGCAAGGTTGGAATCAGTGCAGCGAAGGATCACTAGATGGTGGCTGGTTTGCAGGAGAAGTCATATGAGGAGAGACTGAGGGAGCTGGGTCTTTTCAGCCTTGAGAGGAGGAGACTCAGAGGGGACCTGTTAGCCATGTACAAGTACGTGAGGAGGTGCCACACAGATGTGAAACATGATTCTTTTTCCTCTGCAGTGGAGGCCAGGATGCGTTCCAATGGAGCAAAGCTCAGGGAACCAAGATTTAGGGTGGATGCCAGGACCTAACTTCCCAACAACCTAACTTCCTGATGGTTAGGACCCCTAGGGTATGGAATGGGCTTCCACAGGAGGTGGTTGAAGCTTCAACGGAGAGGGTGTTTAAGGATAGGCTGGACATGCACATTGTAGAAATGTCATGAGTGGAGCCAGCTGGAGCTGGGGGTCAGACTAGATGGCCCAGGAGGCCCCTTCTGACTCACTCTGTTTCTATGTTTCTACCTCACAGGGTTGTTGCTGAGGGGATAAGTTTGACAGCAGCAGAAGGAGAATGATGGAAGCTGCTTGAGTTCTTCTAAGAATAAAGGTGGGATATAAATCTAATAAATTAACAAATAAATACATGGATAGAGAGAGGTTTCCAGACATTGTTGTCTTCTGCTTCTAAGGCTCTTGCATTTTCCCACTGCTGCTAGTATCATGTTTCTTATTGCAGGTCAGGCACTAAGAAAGAAGCTTTCTGATTGTTCATGCAAAGAGGTCCCTAGCTGTGAGGTCATTTCCTACCTGCCCAGCTGAGCTCTACTTTCCTGGCACATGCCAGGAATGGTGCCCTTTGCAGTCTATATTACAATCTGAGATGTGACCATTTCAGTTCATCCCTCTCTAGTCCTCTGCCTCAGTTTTCCAGCATGGGAACTGGAGCGATCCTTGGCTATGTCTGTCATGTCCTGAGAATGTGGGTGTCCCCCATCAAATGGGATTGTGTTGCTAGAAGCTGGAATGTGTAGGGAAAAGCTGCGGTGCACTGGAGCTTTATGGGCCAGTGTCTTGGAAGCGTGCAGGCATCAACTCGGGAGAAGCAACACATGCCCCTTCCCACCATGCTGTTTTACTGGAATGATGAGAACTCATTCAGACAAGGGAGGCTGCTCACCTGTGTATGCTCACGGACATCGAAGATTCGCTGGAGACTCAAGATGTAGCCCTCTGTTCGATCAGCATTGATTTTGTCGAAAGCCACCTCGGCAATTGTCTTTACTTTAGAAGAATTGCATGATGGGGAAAGAAGGTGTAAAAGTGGGCTCGGCTCTCCTGGGTGTTGCGGTGGATGCTCAGCCAACGAACTCAGGACCTGTATCCCGATCAAGAAGGCAAGTAGAAAGGCCATTCCGGATCTGTGTGGGGGACCGGGCAAGGAGAATCGGGAGCCCCTCTGGAAGAGCAGGCTTTCAAAATGCATGCATGTTCCTTTATATAGTTGAAGGAATCCACTAACATTTGCTTTGCTGGTGCACTGTGGCCATCACCTTTAAACCGATGTGCCCACAGTGCAAACACTGAGTCAATTATTAGAAGGTTCTGTGCTCTTGGTCTGATTCACGGACAGCTCGGAGCCCCAGTGCTTGGCTTTAAACTAACTCTGAAACCATTGTAGGTGCACCTTAAGTCCCATTAATTTGAAATAGGACTCTAAGTAGAACTAGCATCAGACACAGCCCTTAAAATCTGTTGAAAACAGTGGCATTGGGTAAGAGGATAACAGTGAACAAGTCGCTTGCTAATGCTAATGAGTACAAAGCAGAAGGCAAAATGTACAGTGCAGTCTTGTGTGTGTTGACTTCAGGCAAAGTCCATTACATCCATGGGGTTTACTCATGCGTAGGTGAACATGGAGGGTTGGATTTAGGCTTGTGCTACTGAGCTGGGGGAAGTAGCCTCAGGCCGTGCTGCGGGGGCACTTTGAAGGCACCCCCATGGCTGTCAGAACAGTGCTTGGGAAAGCAAGCCGGACAGCTTTCAGGATCGCCCAAGGGAAAAGAAGGATGAAGTGAATAAAAAGCTGCGGTGACCTGAAACAACTGGTGATCATGGTGGGGATGTGAGAACAGCCTGTCCCTCTTGTGGTGTCTCGTGGGAAGACGGAGAGGAAAGAAAAGGCGCAACAGAAATGATGATCCTGAGAACTGGGGGGTGGGGTTGAGCAAAAATCATGTATTATTTGCAAGTTTATTTAAAATGAAGCAGTTCAGGCCTATTTCTAACAGAAATGTTGTCGACCAGATCCCGATGTTGCTGGCACGGTCCCCAGGCTGCTCTTACATATGACTTGCATAAGAAAGACTTTGGAACACCACGTTCTCAAACTCTAGCACAAACATTAAGGTTCATATCATCTCTTCTTGCAGGGGGCTTTTCATGTTGCTGTGATATGTGCTTGCACAGGCACTGCCGTGTCCCTTCTGATTTTCTTTTGTTGGGAAAACACTGGTCTACAAATTTTGGGAAATTATCAGCCTCTGAGATAAAATGTGCTAATTCTTACATATTTTGATTAAATGAATTAGAAAACAGGTGATAAAGGTGCTGTTTGGCTAAAGTTTTCAACATAGTTGACGATAAAGATTTATACCCAGGCGAGTATATTTGCCTCCAAGGGAGGGAGGTGTCTGATGATCATGATGCCTTGTAACTTCTCGACAAAGTGCAGTAGAACAATGAAAATGGTACCACATGGAAGTGTATAGATTTATCTTCACTTTGAGACTAAAGATTGTTGCCTAACTGTAATTTATTGTTCTTTTATTGCAAGGTAAATTTGTCTTGGTCAGACCTACACATCATACAGTTACATCTGGTGGCTTGTGAAATATTATAATTGCCTAACATTTCTATGGGACAGTTGTGTAATATTTTCCCTCAGAAGTCAAGATGCCTCCAAACTGTGTAAGCAACGCAAATAGCTTCTGCTACATTTGTGGCGAGGTTACATTTGCATCTCAAAAGTGCAGAATGACGGCAGTGGTAAAAAAGGCAGACCACCCATATTTCGGGTGCAGAATAGGGGATCAGGACAAGAATTGGGCCCCTTGTTATTATTGCATTACATGTGCAACTGATCTGCATCATTGGCTAAACGAGAAGAAAAAGTCCATGCCTTTCACAATCCCAATGGTGTGGAGGAAACCCACCAAGTCCATGGCAATGGAGTTTCTTGGAAACAGCAAGGCAGATGACTATGAAAAACATGTGGAAAATTTGCTTAGGTCCTATAAAGCACTTGGTGCAAACATGTCACTGAAAATTCACTTCTTATACCTGCATATAGACTATTTCCCTTTGAACTGTGGGGCAGAGAGTGATGAGCATGGGGAGAGATTCCACCAGGATATTGCAGGCATGGAGAAGAGATGCAAAGGGAAATGGGGTCCATCCATGCTTGCCGATCACTGCGGGAATCTCTCCAAGGATGATCCTACCGCAGTTCACAAGAGAAAAGCTGAAAAGCACAGTTTAGATACTGAATAAAGACGGAGACTTGTTGTTTAATCTGATGTTAGAGCTTGTCAGTTTTTCATGCAAAAAGCATGAAAATGTTACTTGAAAATGAATGGAATGAATGGAAAGTTATGTTATTCCAATAAATGAATGGAAAGTTATGTTACTGGTATCAATTAAAAGATGAATTTATAATGATTAGTGTGGCACCATTCTCATTGCTATATCACATTTTGAAGAAAAGTTATGGAGCATAATTACACATCCCCCTTGTAATTATGAATTATTTTGATGCACTTTTGACCCAAAGCTGTATCTTGGAAACTGGAGCCAATTAATATTCATGGCTTAATTTTCCTTCATGAGCGACCCAATTCTGGTAAAATTTAGCGACTTTCATTTCTGAAGCTTTCTTCTTGCAGACCAGTGTAATGAGGAAAGAATTAGACCTAGCTGGCAACAGGGGAAGAGGGTGGGTTTGGGGAGTGGGCACAGGACCCCTTGGAAAACCTCTTCTCAGTGGGGAATATCTAGTGTAATGTCCCCCAGCCTGGTGCCCTCTATTGTGCTGGCCTTTGCCATGGGGAGTTGGAGGTGGGTGGGGGGAGTTAGTTGCAGGCCAACACTTCTGGAGAACACCAGGTTGGGGAAGCTAACCTAATGCAAACATTTTTATTATTAACTTTTCCATACTTGTGAAAGACTCAGTTGCCTAATGCTTTCCTTCTTTTTCTGTTACACCCACTCAGCAATTCGACCTTGATTTTGTTATGCAAGTAAGTGAATTTAGGTAACTGAGAACACATTTGTGAGGTTATGCTTCTACATACTGCCCTGGTTTGCACAGAATGGCAAGATGCTATAGTTTTGTTGCAGTTAAAATGAAAACCACAGTTTGGTGCAGCTAATTACATGCAACCCAGGCAATGGGGGTTGTTTGGGTGGTTCGCAACTCCCCAGAATCCATGGCGTGTTTTACAGTTCTGGGTGGTTCTCATGTAAGATCACAAAGTGAAGTATGGTGCCAAAAGAGGGTTCGGATGAAACTCAGTGGGATCTGTCCCTAGGGATGTGGGAAGAACCATTTGGGGATGGGGATCCCACAGATTCCCTGGGCTTGGCTCCCTGGACTCCAGTCTGCTTGGCAGCAGCCATGAGCCTGAGCTTCTGGTGAGCAAACGCGCTGTGCACAGAGCACTCGCTGGGAATCAAGCCACGTGTGCTGTGCAAGCAGTGCCCCTCTTTCACACCACCTGTGGCAGCCCAAACAGGCGTGCACACGGTGTAGAAGAGGGATGCGCAAGAGGTGCTCTCCAGGAATGGAGCCCTGCACATTCACTAGCAATGTCCTGCACCAGGTGCGTGGGATGCTGCACATGGTACGGAAGACAGTTCCCAGGTGTGCAGCCTTCACTCTGCAAGTGTTCGTGGACTTTGTCTTGGCTTGGCTTTCCAGGACCAGGCTGAGCACTAGAGGACGTCCCTGAATGCTAGAGGGACAGCTGGGACTGCAGATGAACATCGAGAAACACCAAATCATGGCTGCAGGTGCCAACACAATGAAGAAACTGTCATTGTGAGAAGTTTTGGATACTTCCTCTCCATCATCCATCAAAGGGAGACTGCAGCCAAGAAACTAGAGGAAGCTAAGACTTGGAAGGGCAGCAGAGAAGGAACTAGAAAAGATCGTCCAGGTATTTCGCTGGAGACCAAGGTCAGGATCATCCCCACCTTGCATTCTGGATCACTTTGTAGGGGTGTGAAATAGTTACAATAGAAATGCAAATTTCCTCACTGGAATGGAGAGCAAGTGACCTCTGAACAGGGTCAGACAGGTGCCCAGTTGTTAACTATAGATGCCATCTCTTCTGGTGGTTCTTCTGGGCTTCAGACAGAGGATGCTTTGAAATAGACTCTCTCTGCAGTAGAGGACATCTGGCCACCGCATTAGAAGTCACTGTTAGGTGGGAGGAGATGGCTGGCCGGCCAGCCACCCTGTTATTTCTCCAACCTCCTCTGCCCCTTTTTTAAAGAAAAATGCTTAGCCAAAACTTTGGCATCATTCTAGTGGATAGTTTATTGTGGGCTTGCAAAAGAGCATGGCTCAGGGACCACAGGTGGCCCTGTGTGACAGTGCTCCAGACCCCAAAAGAGGGGGCACAAAGAAGGTGAACTGCTCTGGGAATGGGCTCTGTGATTCTTCCATGGTAGCTCCGTCACTCATTGCTTCAGTGTCCCCAGTGAGCTGCACTTGAAGGGCTCTGACCCACTTCCAGGGATGTTCCAACAGGGTTTTTCTGGAGTACTGGCTGGGTTTGTTTCAGTTGTAATTATTTGCTTCTTTATACCATTTATATTCCACCTTTTTTTTCCTTCCAAAGAACTCAAGCTGGGTTACACAATTCTTCTCCTCTCCATCTTATCCTCACAACAACTACCCTGTGAGGTAGGCTAGGCCAAGAGTGAGTGACTGGTCCAAAGTCACCCAGTGAGCTCCATGGCTAATTGGGGACTGGAACCCAGTTTGTTGGTGTCCCATTCCCATGCTCCTAACCACTACACCACACTGGTTCTTGCATGCTAGTGGTCTATGAATGTGTGAGTGTATAGGCAGCACACTGCGGCCCAGGCCACCCTGCCCAACAACCAATGCAGCGCTTAGCATTGAAAAGTTTATGCACCCTGGTTTATAATCTTCCAACTTTTATTCCAACCTCCTCCCCTCATTTTCCCAAATGCAAAAGAGTAAGATGTGCTTAAGGACTGATGGCGTGTGTAGCTTACCAGTGTGGTGTTTTGCATTAATCCCACACACCAAGCACCTCAGCAATCAGGGAGCATCCCAGCCAAATTCACTGCCTCATACTCTCCACAAGGCCACCATACCACACTGTCTTGGGGAGCATGCACTCAAAGGGAGACCCCTGCCTGCCAGACCTTCTCAAAGGGCTTGGGCGTCCCCTGCTGGGGCTTCAGCAAGAACGAGGCTCAGCCTCACTCCCACATGGCACACACACAGCATCCAGGAAACATTCGTGTTGCCTTTCAGTCTTACTCTGCATTCCAAGGAGACAAACAGCTTCTTGTTCAACAGGGAGGAAAAATCAGTTTCCCCTGTGGTCATTTTGGGCTGAGCAATTTGACACAAGTAGACCAGTTTTGTGACACGCCAGGTTGTGTCCCATGCAGACAGCCGCGTCCCTTCATCACTGTTTGTAGTGGAATGCATGGGGTTATTTATTTATTTAAAACTTTTATAAAACAAGCAATATCACAATATAATAAAATAATGTATAACCAAGAAAAACAAATCAAATCAAAACTCTCAGGAAATCTCGATTAGCAGAATCAAGAGAATGTACATTTGGATTCACAGGAAGATGCTATGCTCAGTCTCAGCAGTTTATTGGCAGAACACCCAGGTACCCTCCCCCAATAGAGAAAAAAACCAGCAGTGCTATTGGGTAGCCAGTATACCAAACTGACTATGAGCTTCCAGAGCATAGACAGAGTTCTTTATAAGTTGTGGTTCACGTGCACAGTTTCAGGGCAGTTATGAGATTCTGAATGGGTGAAAAGGCAAGGACAATGGGGAAATGCAAGAACATAATACAGAAACACTGAGAAATCATTACAGGCATCAGGAAAAACATCACAACCAATTGAAGGCTTGAGTAATAGATAACAAATAAAACAATCAGGAATTACAGTAATCAAAATGGTATAAAATCTAAAAGATTTAAAACATTGTGTTTTTTGCTATCAGAGATACAAAATTCCTTAAGACAAAGCATGAGCTGACTAGGTATTTTTACATTGCAAAGGAAGCGCAGCTGCCCCTACATCAGCTTGCAGCATTGTTTTAATGCTGTTTCTGCGAGACGCTTGCCTGAGAATGAGCAGATTGTTTGCATGCTTGGGGCTGTTTTTCCTTTTCCCTGAGAAGGAATTAGAAAGGAAAAACCCTGCAGATGGGGAGGGGGAGAGGACAGGTGAGGCTTTCCATATTTTAATGTATAGAACATATAACTTTTATGAGAGCTACTCCAACAATACTTTGTATCAAATAACCTCTGGTGTGCATGGGTTGCTCTGCAAGAAAATGGCCAAATAATGGAGCTCCTGACTCTGTCTCCTTTGCCAGGCATATGGAGTTGGGCAAAAAGTTCTATCCCCTTTGAGTGGAGAGGAATAAGGGTACTGCTGCCAGATTTTATATCAAGGGACATGCAAAAGCATATCTTTGTATCTGAGGATTCATTTGAACTTCCACACACTTGCAAAGAATGAGAAAAGATGATGATGCTTTGTGAAGCATCCACAAGCTACTGTAAATGAAGGACCACAAATGCACAATAAATGCCTTGTGTGCAAGGGTGCTAACATTTAATAGCCATGCCTCAGAGAATTGGAAGGGATACTGAACCTCTCTACAGGCAAAGGCATTGGGTCAGAAGAATCGCCTGAAACCCCAAGCACACCAAGAGATGCTTCAGCCTTTTTAACACCTTGTTACATAACCAGAGGAAAAACAAAAACCACAAGAAGGATTTCAATTTAATGTTTTATTTTTGAAGCACCATCTTTTGGTTGTCCCTAGTGTCAGAATGTATTGCTCTGTAACTTGACATAGCACTTTGGAACTTTTTTGGTCAATCTTAGAGAACACATCTGATAAGTCTTTCTGGTCAATTCCATCCAATGTTGTGTATATTTCTCCCTTACCACATTTTCCCCACCAGACTCTTCATCAAGCTGTTATGTGTTTGTTACCCAAATGGCATGCTGTGTGAATTAGGATATAATTTGTGCAATTCATTCTGATTTTGCTACCCAAGGAGTGGGAAAACAACCAATACATAGGACAGGGTCTCCCTGGTCTACTCTTGTCTTACTCTAGTGATGTCTCCAGATACTGTCTCTCTGCCTTTCTCTTGGTTGTCTCCAATCACAGGAGCAAGAAACTTGCATCTTCAGGAACTTAAGATGACAGAGGAGCTGGTAGATTCTAAATCTGTGGCAAGCACCAGCTTCTGCACTCACACAGAGCAAAGGAACAAATATACACAGCCTGTCTTATCACAGAAAGCAAATTTTGCAGGCTATTGCTATTTTCTGGAACTTATCAGGGCAATCTTTTCTTGGATTCAAGAGTTTGAGTTCAGGCTTTGGAAAATATAAAACGGATTTTATGAATTGCGTGGTTCCATGGCTTCATTTGCTCTTAGCCCTGGACTGTCCTACACATGGAAATGCCTCAACCTTCCAGGACACACCTGGAGTTTAATCTTCCCTTGCACTTCTGCCTGGACTGCTCTTTTGACCACTGGGGCAGCTGGTAAGATTTCAGCAGAATGGGACTCGTGCGAGGCCCATGTGTCATTGTGGGAATGTGCGAGATCAAGAACAGTGCGGCCAATGCCAGGAGAAGGCATGTTTTCCTTTAAGTGATGATCCTGTTGATGGGCCTGGAAAGCTGTATCCTAGAAAAGAAAGCCATACACATCAAGTCTGCTTGGGCCCTTGACGCAGAATGCAATGCCAGTATTATTACTGAAAACAGTAAAGAGCCAGTGGCATCTAAAAAACCGGCAGAGTTATTTGGCAGAAGAGTTCAAGGACAGTGCCTCTTTATGGGCTGCAACTGCCTAAGTGGACAGTGACCCTGCCGAACTATAAACTATTAGGGTGCAATTCCATGCTTGTATAGGCAGAAGAAAGAAGGCTAATGACACCCAGCACCTCCCCAGCCAACATGCCTGACTATTGTTGCTGTTATTAAAAATTCTCCAAAGACTGCTTTCTCCAAAAAAGATAAGGCGTGACTCAAACGGAATTAAACCATGCCGACTTTAAACAGCGGCAACCATTCTTCATTAAAATATCACCACTGCTCAAAGGAACTTCAGTGAACAGGATCACCACAAGCAATGCCACACGGGCTTTCCGGCTGGGAGTTCCAGGCCAGTGCAGAGCCTGGGCTTGACACTGGAGGGGAAGCCTTTGGCGGGTGAGAGCAGTGCAGGGGCGGATGGTGTGGCATCTTCACAGGAGATGGGCAGCTACGTTCCTGGGCTTGGGGCAGTGCTAGGTACTAAAAAAGTCTGGGCTCAAGACCACTGGACAAAAAAGCGCACAATTTGGCATGTGCCAATTGACAAAGGCCCTGCAGTGTCGCTCCCTCATTGTCCCCAAGGACCCTCTCTGCTACAGGCACTGCCATTTGAAAACAGGAATATTTGGTCATGGGAGAAGAGGAAGGGTGGCAAAGCAACTTGCGAAAAGCATGGCGGCAGAGCTCAGCCAAAGGACACCGTGTTCTGCCCCACTCCAACCTGGCAGAACTAAAGAAAGAACTTGGATGCCCAAGAAACTCCAAGCACCGAGGTGGCGAGGTGCCAGAGGTGGCAAGACCACGGTAAGTTTTAACAGCTGTGGGGAAGCAGCCACACTAGCAGAAACTGCTTTGGTCATCACGTCTGCATGTCAAAAAGCGCCTGTTTAATGTTCTTCTTCTGTTGCTCTGTTAATGGTCCCCCTTACATTTAAGTGAGGGTGGGCAGCTCAGACAACGGAGGCCGAGGAGACTTGCCAGTGCAGTCTTTCAAACAGTCTGGGAAATTGTTGGAGGGTGGGTGGGGGAAAAATTCATCAAGATACAGGCATGAAACCAAGAGTTCTGCTCTTTGGCTGATGGATGGAGCTTCTTCATGTGAAGATGCAGTGTGGGCAATTTTATGCTTGAGCAGTTGGGAGTGGTGGAACTGGAGCATCGCTCATTCCCAGCCACTCAGAGCCAAGCATTTGCCAAAGCGCCCCTGTGACCAGCCACACAGAGAAGCAGCGGAAGCCTGGGAGATGCAAGATCTGATGCGAGAGGATGAGAGGTTCTGCCTCTGTCTTTGGGGTCTCTGCACTACCCTCCTTGCCCCTCTCTTTAAACCCTTCCCAATGAACATGGGGGCAGGAACTTGTCGTGTAAATGGATGGGGAAGGAAGAAAGGATGGCATCATTTTTGGAAAAGAAGTTCGTACCTCATGTTCAAAGATGTCACACTGCACCATGTCATTCTCGTCTAAAGGGGCAGAACCTTTTCCTTTCTGGTAAATAGTTGCTTTGCAGAACCCAAAACTCTGAAAGAAGAAGAGGAAGGGAGCAATGAATACACATGAAGAAAGGATACAGGATACCCCTCACTCCCATCTTCTGTTGGACCAGAGTGAACATCCATCTAGTCCATCTTGGCCAGCTCTACAATGCCAAGAAATGGGCAAGCAGAGGATGAAGGCCATGACCTTCCCTCACTGTGTCTCCCCAGCAACTAGTATCCAGAGGTGCACTGTTGCTGAACATGGAGGTTCTGATTCACTACCCTGATGAAAACTTCTCGTATACTTCTTCAGGAATCTTTCTCATTCTATTCCTTCCCCTAGAGGTTGGCTAAGCAGCAAACTGGGAAATGATAAAATCATGCGCTGCATTTAAGAGGCAGACAAGACCAGCTTAGGAAGGACTAACCAGCCTAGCTGGCACATCAAAATAGTCCAAATAGTACATTCTGGATTCTCCTACAAGTGAGAGCTATTGAATGACCCATGGAGGACCTTCCATCCATGGTTTAGTTTTGCTAGCTTTATGTGTCAATGAGGAACCCTGGCTTGTCCTTCCAGCAATGAGGCAGAGAAGGTGCTAGCCCTGACCTGGGCATCTCCTGGCCCACCAATGGTGGTGGTGGATTTATCGGTCACCAAGTTAAAGGCACGGGAGCCCTTTAAATGAAAGAGCCAGCAAGCTGCCTTTGGCCCCAAACAATTCCTTGGGATGGCCCAGCGGTGCCCACTTACCGAGTCCTTGCCGGTCTGCACGTAGCAGTCCTGATGGGCCAGACCTTGCTCGAATGTGCAGTTGGTGGCAGCAATTGCAAACTCCGTGTAGATAGAGTGAGGCATAGGCTGGGAAGACAGCAAAGAATTATTAGCCATTCTTGTGGGGGAAACCGCAGCACTGAGCAGAGTGAGTTATACAAAGGGCAGCATGCGATGCCGGAGCCCTCTGTTTCCCAGGGATATCTGTGCCCCCTCTCATCCCTAAGAGGGTCTTATCCTGATTTGCAGAACTTTGGGCCATCTTGCTCAGTATCAGTGCTGTATGGCCTCAGACAGAGTTCTGGGGCCCGCGTCACAGACCTGCTGGGCACCGAACCTGTCCTCTTATGCATATGCCCTGCTTCTCAGGTATGGGGCTGCCCCTTCTCTTCTTTGACAAGGTACTCAGAGCAACTTACAGGACTCCTAAAAAGAGAGGGGGGTGCTGCGTGCATCTGGAAGGGATGGTGGCATCTCTGAGAGAGACCGGTCTCTTCCACTCCTGGCACAGGAGGTTAGGAGTAGGGTGAGCAGGTGCCAAGGGATGGCCGGTTAAACACTCAGGCTCACTAGCGGCTTCTTTGTGCAGTGTGTGCAAAGAAATTCTTTGTGCAGAGTACTTCCTAAGTAGGCAAGATACACAAAGCCCGCAGGCCACATGTGCAGGAGCAGAATTCTGCTTGCACAGCAGGTGTACAGGCAGCAGGTGTGCAAGCCAGCTTCATGGACTTGTTTGCACTCAATGCCTCCTGTAAGGCCATATTAACACTCCATGAGGAGTAGATTTAGGACGGAGAGAATGCAGGACAGAATCTGGGGAGCCCAGATTTTCCCCAGGCCAACATCGCACCCCCAAGCCGGATTCACTACACTGCATGCCATTTGGAAGCCTACACAGGCTTCCTGAATCCTGAATATAGAGCTGCCCTAAATACTCAAGAATAGGGTTGCGGCGATCTTCCTGGAACCTGTCCCTTTTCTGTTTGTTGGACCTCCAGTGGGAGGAGGAATTCTGGTTATGCAACCTGCATCCTTCCTCTGCAGCCTATGCTGCTCAAACAAAGTCTCAAGCCACACGTGCACTAGAGGAATGCTGCTTGCGGGGTGTTCCCATGAGCTTGACGCCCAGCAGGTGGATGCTTGGCACGCTGAGGGCCAAGTCGGATTCACAGCTGCCGGAAAGCAAGGCCAGAGACCAGGAAGCCAACAGACTCCCACTCCCAATGCAGGTTCCTCATACACCCCTACTCAAGAACACAGAAGAACACTGGCTCAAGTTTTAGCAAGCCAGGTTCTGGCTGAACATCAGGAAGAAATTCCTGCCAGCTAGAGCAGTATGGCAATGGAACCCATGACCCTTACAAGGAGGGGGTGGGCTCTCCCATGCTCGAGGCGTTGATGATAGATGGACAGCCATCTGAGAATGATTGTTTAACTTGGAGTCTTGCACTGAGCACAGGGTTGGTCCTGATGACCCTCTGGCTGCTTCCATCTCTACTGCTATATTTCTAAGAAGAATCATGAACTCCCAGAAGACTTTGTTCGATTAAAACCCCCACTGACCTAGGAACAAGAGGGAAAAAACTGCACTGCACAAACACAGCACAGTTGCTTTAAGTAGGCCACTACAGCATTCCTGTAATGCCTCATCATAACCCTGAGAGCTTTGTAGGACTTTTATTGGAGTCCTACAATAAACTTATCTTGGAAATGTTGGAGAAGGCTCGCTCGGCACTCTTTCCCACCCTGGTACTGCCCAGCTGTCTTGGGTGGGATCTCTCGCCCCTTCGTGCAGACACTCCTGCCCATCTTCCTGGTGCCTTATGGGGTGTTTTGGGCTCCAGGGCCACCCACGCCCGGCCCTGCACTGCTCTCTCCGGGCCGCACCAGCAAGCAGAATGCCGAGCCGGGCAAGGCGGTGCTGCGGGACTTACCACGAACATCCCGCGTGAAATCTCAAGAAGCTTGTAGAAGACTGGAGCGTTGCCAGCATTGAAATCTGCGAGGGCTTTCTCAGCCGTAGCAACTATGTCAGGATTGCTCAGTGGTGCCAGGACAGGACAGTCGGGACATATTTTTGCAAGGTCTTCAACTGAGTCTATAGAAGGAAAAGCAGCGAAAGAGGGGGAAGAAAGAGAGAAGGTTGCCTTCTTAAAGTGTGGTTTCCGTTAGAGGCAACAGCCAGAAAGAGCCACAGGCAAAAGGGTGCGGTGGAAGCATGCATCTGATTGCTTCAGATGTTGGAGCGTGAGTGCATGTGGTTGACTCCAGATTTCTGCTGGATCAAAGGTGCTCGTGAAAGTGGATTTCTAGGAGGTCCATCTTGGAGAGTGGAGAACTCCAAAAATTGGGTGGAGGGGCTCTTCCCATTGTGGAAGGCAGATCCTGGATCCAACCCACAGTCATAATGGAGGAAAATAAAGTTTAAATGGCATTTTTAAAAGCATGCCAAATACTTCAAATGCATCCAGGCACTACAGCAGCACAGGGGAAGGCTGCTTGGGCCATGGGGGCCACTGAGTAGTACTTCTAGGATCCAAGCGGGAAGACCAGCCAGGAAAATCAGCCTGGCTCCAAGAAAATATTCTCATGAGGTTGGGGGTTGGCCTGGATGACTCACTGGGATCCCTGTCAGGCCTTCAGTTCAGCTGCTACTCCTCCTCCTCCTCACATGTGTGATTTCCTTTGGGACTTGGGCATTTCAGGAAAGACTTTGTGTTCTCCCTGCATCCCATGTGCCAGGATTGTAACCCTGCTGCTGTTCTAACCCACCCACCCCAATTTCCTGCTGCGTGCAATGTAGCACGTAGCTTGGCTACAGAGATTTAGCTGCCAGGGACCCTGAGAAGGAAGTTAAACATGGAAGAACATCAGTGCTAGCAGCTCCCACTCGTAAAATGGAAGCGAAAGGCAAAGAAAATAGGACCACACTGGGCCAAGCACAAGCAAATGGCCAGCTATTGGCTCTCTCAGTCCCTCAGCACAGCTGGGAACCCCGCAACAGCCAAATGGATTACCTGGAGATGAATGGCATTTGACAGCAGTCACTTTGTAGTCGTCCTGAACTCTGAGCATTCTGACGTCGCAGTCGGCTTCGACAGCCTGGATGTGGAAACGAAGAGAATCCGAGGTGGCAAGGCAGGCTAGGATGCACTTGCAGAACGAAGGGAAGCTAAGCCCAGTCGGACAGCACCCAGCTAGGAATTTACAGCCCCTTTTGGGGAGAGATGGATGCTGAGGTGGACACAGACGGGGAGAGCAGCAAGGACCAACATCTCTGGCTGGGCTAGTCCGTTGTCGTTCGCCTGGGCACCGGCGATGGGCAAGAAATGCCTCTAGGTGAGCCAGCTAGGAGGCTATGAGGCTTCTTTACATTGGTGCGCAATCCTAGGGGTTTGCCCATCCGCCCCCAAACTTGAAGAGTTACAGCCAATGAGCAGAGTGGGGGGCACAGGGAGGCTCAGGTCGCCCCCATGCTTCTTTGCTCGGCAGGACAGTGAAATGGCTGATGTCTGCTGTCAACGGATGGAGGTTTGGAGCAGGAGGGAAGGTTGCTGAGATGCTACCAGGGAACACGGAACCTTGGCAATGTTGGGCTCCTCCCTTTCCTCCTGCTGGAACACCCCTAAAGCCCCCCTGGGGGTTCCCCTCAGTCGAGCTTGGTGAAGCAGCTGCTGTGATTCTTGCGAAGGGGAAAGCCACTGTACAAAAGCTAAGAAAATGCCAACAACTGGTGGGTGGGTGGGGGGAGGAGGTGGGGGGGAGGCAGGAGATGTGGCCCTCTGGGAACCCCCAGAGGGTCATACTGGGGCTGGAATTGGACCTCATTCTGAAAGAGCATGGGTGAGGAACTGGCAGCCTCCCAGAGGTTCATGGACATCCACTCCTATCATCCCTGGTCCTTGGCCAGGTTGCCAGGGCTGTTGGCCATTAGAAGGCTGCACATGGAGGGCCACAGCCCTGCCTTAGTGCCTGCTGGTTGTTGGGATCCTTGCAGGCTTGGGAAGCCTCTGGCTGAAGGCAGCAAGGTGGCTCCCACGGCCTTCATCAGGGGTCTTGGCCGCCTCTGCACTGCAGCTCCACCACACACACCCTGGAGGAGCTGCTTGTGTCCCCGAAACAAATCAGAGGAGTGGGCTCCTCTCAGAGACTGAGGCCAACCCCAACCTTGCCTTTGGGACCTGACCTGACTGACTCCTTGGACCTTTGCCCCCGTACTGCTGCAAGCAGGACAAAGCTATTTGGGATCAAATGGATTATCCCTTAGCTGCCAACAGATCCCGTGTGGGCATCAGCACTGTGCAAATAAAAATCAGAATAACCGGTGGGCATTGTTCAACTATTGAGTCCATACAGGAATGAAGCAAGCCCATTCTCAGGGTGCTGGTGAAGAAATTCTCTGGATCCAGGCAATCTGAATTCTCTGCATGGTTAAGCAAAAGGGCAGACACTCACGTGACTTTGCAGTGCCCTTACTGTACAGTTTTCAGCAGGCACTGGGCTCACGACATGGCATTCTGTCTCCACTAATTTCAACTCAAGTAAGATTAGCTCTCCAAAGGGTCTCTGGGAAGGAAAAAAAATGAGATAAGACGATTAGAGACGATTTTCTTCATGTATTGGTTTTTCTTGCATGACTGTATCTTGTTTTGTTTGTTTGTTTTAATCAGCACATGACTTTAACCACACATCAGACTTGAATTTTCTCTAGTAACTGACGCACAAAATCCAATGCAGAACAGGAAATGCTGCAGAATGCTTCCAGTAGCTTTGACACTTCTTTCTTGTCAAGAAGCTGAGGTTTATGGTCCATTGCAGTTTTTATTTTGAGCTCTGTAGAACCCACTTTTGGGTGCAAACAAATACATTGAATCCCCATCTGATTCCCCTTGTTCAGGAGGGGCTGCAGGTTTGGTTCAGGATATGTGCAATGGCACCAAACCAATACTTGCCCGACATGTGGAACTGGTACTGTAATAGTGCTACAGGTGAGTAAAAATGGAACCATTAGTGTGCAAAACATTCATCAGAATTATCCCATTAATTTCATTTCTCAATTTGCTCCCACTTGATCAACCCTGTTCTTCCTAATGATTTAGAAATTTGCTTTTGTTTCTATGCTTAAGACCTTTCTGAACAAGAACACATAACGAGTCATGACGGGAAGCCTGAAGACAGGAACCTGTGTGCTTCTGAACAACAACAACAACAACCAAAAGTTAGTTAGCCCAGGAACTATTCCTGGTCCATCTTCATCCTTTCCTGCCTTCGCATTTTTTCCCCTCAAGTGGCAAAAATTGTTAAGTTTATTCCTGGAAAATGATATAAGGACCATGAGCTGGAAAAAGGATGTTTGCATTCCTTACTGAGTAAGAACAGCTCCTGGATTGCACAGTGAACCCCAGCTGTTTGTATCATTCTTCGATGGACAAACCCATGGCTTCCACAGTGGGAGGTGGGAGAAAGAAACCTTTGGTGCTGCAAAGTCTCGGCGTTGCACAGTCGAGAACCTGCCTATGATGCATTTCTGAGTTGGGGCCAGGACCGGGGGACCCCAAACCCAGCAGGGCAGGCTCACCACTTCTTGGAGCAAATGGGGACCTAAACCTTGCCATCTAGAGCATGGCCCCTGGAAGACTGGCAAGTCCACCGCTTGACTTCACTACTGTGATTCTCCAGGTGCGATGCTGCAAATGAGAGCCCCTTGCTTCCATGTACCCTTTGACGAGGCACTTACCCGGGGAAGCACCCTGATATTGTCGATCTGGTTAAGGGCGTGCTTATATCCATGCACAGCATTGTGGTTGATATGATACAGTGCTACGGTGGCCGCTTGTTCAGCCTCGTCGGAGTCACAGTCCGGAAGCCTTGCTTGAGACAGAACCACTGCATGGGCGACGCACCCCAGGGTCAGGCCCAGGAGCACCAAAGCTTGCAGGGATCTCATGGCTCTGGGCACAGAAGAGCTCGGAGGGAAGTTCTGCTGGGCGGGCGGATGGATGGATGGACAGACAGGCCCGAGAGCTCCCCTTTATGTAAGGCGCAACAGCACAGCCATTTGCATACGTGAATCTTTGTCCCAGAAAGTGCCTGCAAACAAGCTAAAGGGAAAAGTAAATATGTGGGAACATGAAGTCAAAGTTTTATTTGACAAGAGCAAAATTGCAAAGTATGCTAAAAAGATCTCCAGGGCAACATTCTTGCACGAACCATATTCCTGGCACATCCCCATGTATATACCTGCACTAAAAGGAAATATTGCATTATCCCTGTACTAAATTATACGGTAAATCATATACAAACTCACTGTGAGCTGTAAACCTGGAAGACTTCTGTTTAAATATCGTCTTAGCCATGAAATCACTTGCTGGTTTTATACAAGCCTGTAACTGCTGAAGAAATGCTCTGTACACATTGCAATAATTACACATAGTACCAAAGTATGTAATTATACTTTCTGCAAAGGAGAAAAGGCTCAATCCAGAAATCTCCACGTGTAAAATGGAGTTACGTGTGATTATTTGGTAAACACGCTATATTTCCAGACAGCATTTAACATAGTCCCATGCTTTTGATGTGTGAGTGAAATTAGAGGCCTGTGGACTTAGGTGGTCAACTTGCAGGAGGCAAGAAGCTCTTGCAGTGCAGGGGTCCCTGAAAACCCATTGTCACCAAATATCCTTCCTATATGTGTACATAAAGTTGCACCTATACACAGGTACACTGAAAAACTTGGAGTACAGGGACCTTTTTTGGCTGTACACACAGTGGATCTTGCACTGTACTTCAGCAAACTGAGGAAATTAATTCAGCCAAGAAGATTATGAATAAATAACATAGCTTTCTTTTGTTGCAGATACTTACAGCAATGTAAGAGCGCAGGACTGGGATTCAGGTGATCTGGGTTCTAGTCCTCACTCAGCCATGTAGCCACCTGGGTGACTTTGGACTAGGGTCTCAGCCCAACCTATCTCACAGGGTTGTTGTTGAGGGGATAAGCAGGAGGAGGTGAATGCTGTAAGCCACTTTGGGTTCTTTGTTAAAAAAATGGAGAGAGTGTATCTTTGGTCATGAACTGGATACCTTCTAGAGGCCACATGCATATGCTGGGTTTGGAGACACACATATGAGTAGGATACAGCCTCCACACACCCCTTGGATTTCCTGGGCCTGCTCCAGATACCCTGCTTGCTGCTTTATTTCGACTTTTAATGGTGGTAAAGACATGATTTGGGCTGCTTCCAGGTTGCTGGGAAAGTCCTGCCCTTGGACTACGAGCAAGGGAATCACCTCTCTCTGCTCTCTTAGAGGAAAAGGAGAGGCAGTGCTACCATGGCGGTAGATGCAGCGGTGTCTGGTAGGCCATCAAACCAGAAATGGCTTGAGGGGCTGCATGTGGCCCATGGGCCGCAGTCTTTGCATCCCTGCTATATATAAAAAGCGACTGAGCATGGATCGTGATTCGCCAGAGCAATACTATCTCCATTTAAGAGGGAGGTATTAATAGAGACCCTAAGGTCTGCTGAATTCTGTATCTTTCCATCTATTTATTTGGGGGAAATCTTGACAGAACTGGGGTGGGAGACACAAAATAGCTCAGTAAAGACTGAGCTTGCTCACTGGCATGAAATACTGACTGACTGGGGCGGAAGAAAGCAGTAAATGTAATGTATCGATAGCAAGTATGACTTACTTGTCAGAATGGCAAGCCGAGCATTCCACACTGGAAGAGCTTCTCGAAGGCCCAGCTTGAGTCACAGAGCTGGCAAAGCTGCAGGAAAAGCTGGCAGAAATTTCCCTGTGAGGTATGATGAAATTTGACTCAACTGGAAAGGAGTGGAGGTTTAGGAAACCGTGTCTGGTATGAAGAAGTGGGGTAGAGAGGTTTTTCACTCCAGAAAATGGCTGTTTCCGCAGTTTGGGCAGGAAAAATATGTGTTCTTTACACATGTTTAATGCATGGAATTTGCTGTCATAAGAAGTAGCCGTTTGCTTAATGAGGCTTTAATGGAAGATTAGACCAATTCATGGAGAAAAGGGCCCATCTGTGGCCACTGATCATGATGTCCATGTGAGCCCTACCTGTGGGTCCTTGGAATAGACACAGGTAGGTTTCCACCTGCTGGGGAAGCAGCAGTGAGAGATGCCAGGGCTAGCCCTCCCATTTGGTGAAATGAGGTGATGGCCTCAGGCAGCCAGTGCCGGGAGGTGACAGAGGTTATGGAGTTGAGAACGATACCACACGATGTGCCCTGCGCCCCTTAACCTGGGATGCTGCCCTCAGGTGTGGTGGAGGATGCCGCCCCCAGCTGATATTGGAAAGTCGAATGGGAGGACACCCTTTTTTCCCAGCCTGGGCAGCTCGATGTCTCGGGCTGGTCCTCTGATTGCTTTCCTTGGCCCCTCTTTGTGGGTTCCCCAGTGTCACCATGGGATTCTTGGGCTTGATCTGATCCAGTCAGCTCTCCTACGATCACTGATACTGCCAAGATATGGGATTATTGACAATGCACAAGAGAAGAAGGGGAATGGGTTCCCCCGGGGCAAGGCATCAAACATGCTCAAAGTCAAAAGCTTAGCTTTAAAGGAGAGTTTATGAACAAGGTTTAAGTCAACAAGCCTGGTTTACACCATTGAAAAATAGCCAAAACCAACAGGACTTGATGTAATCCGTGACAAGTTCATGGCCAGAGAGTTGCAGCAGAAAACTAGTGGCAGTGGGGCGGGAGCGAGGGGGGAAGGCTCCTTCCTCCTTTCTGCAGATTCTGCAGCTTTATTCTTTCTCCGAAGGAGGCCTTCCAATGTGTGGTTTACAGGATGCGCTTTTACACTTACCAGGCACAGCATGGTGGCACTTCTGCCCCCTCTTTGTGTCGTGTGTCATGTGACCGGCCGTGGCCGCATGCAGAGCAGCCGCCTGACCCGCCCCGCTGCCCTTTGGCGCCAGCCGCGCCACGGCTGTGCTGTAGGCTGTTGACGGTACAGAGCCTGCCTGAGGATGGGACATTGCAAATTTTAATTTCCCCCACATTTCAACAGTTCCCTTTTTAACTTTAGTTTTAATATTGCATTTTACCCTGTACTGCTGCTATACCTCTGTGCTGATTTGGTTGCAATTGCAATTTTATTATCTCATGTTACTTTTTTTCTTTCTTCTTTGTGTGTTTTAAACTTTTGTTAACTGCCCAATGAGCCTTGGTGGTTAGCAAATGAAACAAATACATAATAAATAAGACAGATGACTGGGCTTACCATGGGTTGTTCTCCTTCACCTTTCCCCACCCTTGGTTCTCCTGCTGGTGTCCTAGGCAGGGATGTCTGATAGATCAAGTTTGGGGATGGGAATCTGTCATATTTATCTCAGCTCCCCACCTCTCTCTGTCCTAAATCTACCTCGCTCTAAAAGTTTGCTTGGGGATCAGCCAGAAAACATGTTCACATAGAGATCTGCTCCCACATACTTGACTTGCAGGCTTCACATATTTTGCACAAAAATGATGGAATGTATGTATTTTGCACAAAGAATTATATACCCTGTGTATTTTGCACAAAGAAGCTGCTCGGATTCCCAAGCATCTGTGCACTTGATCCTAGCTTGGCACACTCCGTGGCCAGGGCTTAGCATGGGAAAGAACTCTGGTTAGAGTCTGGTTGGAAGAGAGCTGGATTCCAGGCAGCCATTTGCATTCCCCTCCCTTCTGCGAGGACGAGGGCTTTGCATTCACGTCCGCCTCCCCTCCCCCCACCCTGCTTTGCACTGATGCCAAAGTGGCACTTTGGAGCAAGTATCACTGGCTTGTGACCCGTTTTTCAGCAGGTTGGAGGAAGAAATGTGTGCAATTCCATTAGCATGTTGTAAGAGGAAGTCCAGTCCTTCCAGGTCACCCAGTACATGTTCATTTGCTTGGCCAATGTCCTGCGAAGTGTCTGTTATCAAAGTGCTGTAGGCCTCACTCGTGGACATGGCAGCCCTGGGGAAGAGCTATCTAAGAGCAAGCTCTTCCCTCCAGAGCTGGCCTCAGCAAGGTGCGTTTACCTGTATCTTGCCTGATCTCCTGCTTTGCCATGTTGCTGCAGCCATGGATGGACTGTGGATAGATGGGACCTTCAAGACTTGGCTTTCTCTTCTCCGGAAGGGCTGTCCTCTGTATGGTACAACACTTGGCCATTCCACAAAACCTTAAGGACATCTGCCTGCATATCGGAAAGCAGCTGAAATGCCCTCTCCCATTTTCATGGTCCTATGGACATGTGTGTAGTTCTGCATGTAGAGGGGATTTCATTCTGCCTTTAACTTACACAGATCGGAGAGACTCGCACTCTGGGTTGCCTGATACAGTGGAAGCCTCTCTGTGACTAATCTGGGAAAGAGCTGCGCAATTCCCTGGATGCAAACCTGGCACCCCAGGACAGAACCTTGCTTCCTGCACACCTGCTGCAGGCTTCTAGGGAAGGACGTCTCTGCAGGAAACAGTGAAATGTAACACTAGGCAGTTTCAAACAGAGTTGCTGAGTTAGAGGAAGTAATTGTTAGTGAATTAGCAAGTGAGCTACTGAAAGGAGAGACTAGCTGGAAATACCCCTTCCAGAATGGGAATCTCTAAGAAAAAAGGGCCGTAAGGAGCTCCAACATGGGTATCAAAATGGCGAATACATGTCAGTGTGAGCAAAGTATAAGTCAGGCCACGCCGGGGCAAAAGAGCCCAGCTTCATGTATAAGGATAAGCTTATGGGTTCTGAGCTGGGGGCCACTGATCATGAACGAGATCTTGGGGTCCCGGTGGACCGCGTGATGATAACGTCCACCCAGTCTTTCGCTGCTGTGGGACAAGCAAGCTCAATGTTAGGCAGAATTAAGGAAGGACCTGCCAGTCTCCCTCTTCTGTGACTAAAATATGTGCTGTGGCCAGACTTAGAATACTGTGCATCGTTCTGGTCACCACATCTAAAGAAAGGGTATTATAGAGCTAGAAAAAGTGCAGAAAGCGGCACCTCAATTGAACAGGTCTCTTGCAAGGCT